TTCCCGCCATATTATACTATACACATACGGTAAAATATACATGTCCATATTAATATATCATCGTATCACTCTAACGTGAGCAAACTTAAAAGTCCGACGCAATTGTCAAGGGTCGGAGCGCGGACGAGATGAGTAAACGATGATCGCCACATTTGTATCAATCGGGCAGAAAATTCGAAAGTTCATCGACCGGAACAAGCATTATGCAGCTACTATGAAATTTTCAAGACTATTTTTCAATAATTTAATTTATGTAACAGTTTAGTTAAATGTGTAGTGTTGGTGCGTATATGGACACACATGCAGTGCGAGAGGCCACGTGCATACGAGTGCCGAGCGAGCAACAAATATGCGACTCGCGCGCATACCTTTGCAAAGCGTTATACCGTATACATACATAGAGAGCCAGGGAGCAGAGGCATTGAATGGCATAGATAAGCGAGCGAGAGGAAAAGAGACACGAGTCGAGGCTCGCGCGCCCAAGACTTTCTAAAGGCCTTCGGCGGCTATAATATATGTACGCTCGTGCGAGTATTACGGAGATTGCCTGGCTAGCGGTTGGCTCTCCTCGAGCTCCGTCACACGCTACTCGCATGCTGCCATTTAACCATTCACAAAATCTTGACGATTTTCATGCGCCTGTAGCTGCCAAATCATCCAGCCTAAATACACTTTTTGTCGAAATCTGCACATAGTTGATACGTACACGAACTCGAGCATTTATCCAACGTGTCATACCGAGCTAATTTTAAAAAATATCTCGATGTATTTATTGTCGAGAACAAGCGAGTCTATAGCTCACCTAGTCAACGTATTTTCTTCCATTTTTATTTTTTTTCTTTGAATTACAATTTTTTCCATCCAAGAGAACGAAATAATGGAGTTGATGAGCTCAAAGAGTATCCATATATCCAATTAAGAGTTGTGCTCTGAGAAATTATGAACGAGCTGCTACGAGGTAAAGAGACAGTGATTCAGACGCAAAAGTTTTGAACAAATAAATGCATTCCAAAAATTATGCTCAGTCGCATGATGACTCTTTCGTATTTCACTGAGTCTCCACGGCCGTGACTACTCATAAAAACAATTTACGGAATAATCGCACTTAGAGATAGATGAAAACATTGATAACGTCAGTAGAGATTATCTCCGGATAATCATTGAGAAGTTTATTTATTTTGTACAAGTGCGTGGATTAATTAGAAAATTGTCTGGGCATTATGCTCTCGAAATGTCCCTCCACGAGCTTACTCGGCGTTTGAAAAAGCGCGCGTGACTGCGACACGCCACATTATGAACTTGGCAAGAAAAACCAACCAACTCGAGCTAGCTCGGGCGGCATTCTTGCGGTTCCATAGTATAGAAAACTAATGATTATTGAGGAGAAGAAAGAGGACGCACCGGAGAATAAGCCAGTGCATCTGGCGCGTAAACACACTAACAGAACAAAATCATTCCTGTTGACTTTTTTTACTATTATTATCATTATTTTTTTTTTTTTTTTTAACAAATTTGTAGATCTTCCGGACTTGCTCCCTTTTAATCAAAGATTTAGTCAAAGATTAATAGACTTTGATGCACATGACAAAGTCGGCTTTTTTTTAAATTTCAAACAAGTTAAGAAAAATCGCACGGAGCAACGAAACAGCTGGTTTATGCATAAACGCGAATAAATGTATACACACATACTGAACGCGTCTCTTTTGCTCTCTCTCTCTCTCTCTCTTTCTCCATTTCTTTGGCAAACGCTGAGGCATAGATATAGAAGCGCAGGTGAGTTCCTTGGAATGCGGTACACAACATCCAGCTGAAAGGATAAAAGCGAGACGAGGCTCAGCACGAGAAGACGGAGACGAAAAAGAGCAAAAAGAAGAAGAAGAAGAAGAGGAAAATAGGGAGGCTTGAGTAGGGAGATCTTAAGCTATATATAGTACGGGCATATAATTCGTGTTTTGCTGCTCGCGTATCAACATGTAGAATGTCTCTCGGGGTGTTGTGCACGATCTTCGGGTTCGTCGCCGAACAAATTGTAAACGTAAAAGTCGATTTCTCTACACACATTAGGACTACGCAAACGCAGGCATACGTATGTATAGGATATATGTTGCGACATTGAGCGCGTCGATTCTCACGATAAACATTCAAAGTGAACCGATTCGGTCGCTAAAGTGCACGATAAGTGATTAGCAGAGGCTCGGATCAATAAAACGTCGGAGCTGATTTTATGCGTGGATCGGAAATGGTGCCTCGAATCGTATTCATAAGTGCACGTGTCGCGTGTGCGCAGCTAAGACGACGGGCGATCAATTAGCTATACTCGGACAACGTCAACGTGCGTGCACAGCGATTGGAAAACGACCATCGACGCATACTAGAAAGGCGGCAAGCAGCGTCGACGCAACGTAAACAGATGATGAGCCACGGGGACAATGACCTGCTGCTACCTATATCGCATTATACTTGAGCATCGCTTGATTTCATACCTATACAAACTGACACTGTGTGTTTGCCAACTGTAACTTGCTGCTTATTGCACGCAAACGGTATTTAAATGCGTTTGTAAACAATACGTGTTATTAAACGATCATTGTGTTATGGACGCGCGCAAAAGAGAGAGAGAGAGAGACGCGCGATGCTCGGGCTTGCGTGGGAGTGAGACGCCACTGCAGTTGCGCATGATGATTATCTTTTATAGAATAATATTGTTTAAAGATCGCACGTTCATAGTTGATTCTTTGGCTCACTTGATGTACTTCGAGTTCGTGGGACCATTTTGAAAGGACATTTTTCTATCTCCTAGACGCCACGTGCTTCATGTCGTACTATATAACATACATTTTATAGCTTGTACTTACAATCAATGAGCATGTCAACAGCCAAGCTGCGTTTAATGACTCCGATTTACTACAATGAGAAGACTAATAAAAAAGGACAAGTAAAAAATTATTCACTTCGCTGCTGGAATGAGATTTAAAGGATGAAAACTGCATCAATCTATACATTATCTCCACATAGGAGATTTTTAATAAACATCTTCAGGAAAATCAGCGCAACACAAATACAAGGTAATGCACGCAAATGCAATTGGAGGTGTAAATATTACAAATATTATATGCTTAACATATCGACAATCGACATAAGCTTTATATTATTTCATCTTTCGTTATTCTATGACATGTGAGCAATTTGAAATTTTATTTCTTGATGCTGAAAATTGTAGATGCGATCGAGTCGATTAATTCACCTATGTATTACTCGTGGCATGCATTAAGAACATTATATTTTTCAGTGTCATGGTGGAATTTTTTTGTATTTAAAATAATACTCGTATGACACAAATATGAGATTGTTTTCGTGCTGCGCTTGAATGAAATTCTCTGGAAAATCGAGTTAACAAAAACAATTCGGCTAGGATGAGAAATTTTTTGATTGTGATCTCATACATGTCCTCGGATTTTATTAAAATTTTTGGGACTATCACCCATTTAAATATTTTAAAAAATCATAGTTCAGCCCTGAGTGAATTCAGGAAAACCCACAAGGGTCTGAGAACTGTGCAAGTTAACTGCTATAAAAATAAATGTAAAAGTCAAAATTTAATCGAGATCGATCCGTACTTTCATTATCAAAATTTCACCGTGCTTCTTCAGAATTCACAATAAATATCATAAAATTTTTGTAATGAACCTTCAAGCCTAATGAACACCAAAAAACTTGCGATACTCTCAACATTTTACAGGCCGTTAGACTCGAGGGACTATTAAAAAATGTATAAGGTAGTAGCTGAGAAAGCTCTGTACATTTTTTGGCCAAGAAAGTTCGGATCGAGTTCGATTAAATTTTAAGTTTGTTGTATTAAATCTATAGAAGAAAGATTTAATCGTGATTTAAAACAGGATGATAGACGGTTTCGAAAATGTTATTTAAAATTTAAGGACACATATGATATCTATGTCAAAATACTAGAAGTAAAAAGTTTATTTGAACATAAGGTTTCATTCATAATCGCCGATATATATAATAATAGCGCGAATTCTCGAAACGATTTCGTACACGGCATGCATTCATTTCTATAAATACCTGCGCGAGCTCTTAAAGATCGGTAACGCTTTAAGCGTTGCGCCACTATACGCTTACGCCGGTAGATTTTAATATACTCAAACGTGTATGCGCTTTGGCTATTATGAAATTCTTTCTTTGCATTATCATGGCACACTCGACGTGATTGTACGCGACTGGCTAATCGATCAACGAGGATAATTAACTCCTTTACAATTTTGATATAAAAAGAAGATCGAGTAGGAGAAGAAGAAGGAGAAGGAGAAAAGATCGGAACGAAGAAAAAAAATATATGCGTATGCGCGAATACATAGCTCAAGTTCTCGACTAGTTATCATTGGGCTGGGAGCGCGTCGAGGCAGTGGCACGCAACGGGCAGCACACCTTGGCGCGCTCGCGATCAGTATGCAGCGCGAAGCTTTTCCGTTTGTCGCCTGCACTCTCGCCTGCTTACACATTAAAGGCTTGCGTGCGTTCGTTTATTCCGCAGCAAAGGACCTCGAGCCGAGACTATAGCTGCATTGTGCATTGTCTTGCGTGTACGCGCGCTCGCTTACGAACGATTTACTCGCCATCCATCTATTAATGGAATTGCAATGTCGAGAAATTTTGATAATTCATCGGAGGGATTTATATAATGGCGCCGCTGACTGGACTACCGTCGGTCGAGGCTCGACTGGCGATGAAAAGCTGCCGAATTTCAGCCGTACGCGGTACGCCCGATACCGATGCCTGCACTCGACGCTTACGAGGCCTTTTTGTCGTTGCTCGTACGGGCCGCCAATCGAAGAACCTGTTTTAGCGATTCGCGGCGAGTCCAGTTGAGCGCGCGCATTAGGATGGCTGCCAACCGGTTCGCGGACGATCTTTGCCCGCGTTTCCTCCCCGACGATACTTTGTAGATACTGGCGTTGTAAACATGGTGCACTTGGTCGACTCACCCTTGTGTCTGCGCCACTGGCGATAAATCAAGGCCGCGAGGCCGAAGAGGAGACAGGTGACGGCGAACGTGCCGATCACCGCGCCGGCGATGCTACCAGCGCTGAAACACGTATCCGGATCCTCCATTTCTTCGAAAAATTTATCACAGACACGCGCGCAGCCACGAGCGACGAGGCCAACAACGATTCACTGCTCTCTTCTTGCCCTTTTCCCTCTTTGCGCACTGCACACTTGCGCGCAGCTGTGCCTACGATTTCAACTGCACAGCTCGATCATAGCGACGGATCGCGCACAAAATCACGCAGCGATGGGTGCGTTACTGATGCGAGGCAGGCCGGAATCGAGTCGAAGATCCGCACATGGACGCGTTTCGTTTGAAAGAATTAGCAACGAACGTCGCGCTGTCGATCGGTGCCCAGCCAACGATCATGCCGCAACCGATCGGAAGTCGCGATTCCGATTCCCTACCGATGATGCATACTGCAGGCACTCGTTGAACAACGGCCAGCTTACGAGACTCGTTGTTTTTCGTGTCGTTATCGGTGACCCGAGCGCCGCGGGATTATTCGCGTTGTATCATTTAAAAGGACGAGGCGCGCCTGCCTGTAACGTCGATCACAGACTCGCGAACGATGCTCGCTCGACGAGGTATCGCGCGATACTGTCTGCTCGCGCCGACATAGCCAGTCCACTGCCTGTTTAAGAGAGGGATACACATACACCTGAAATGCCTGAACATTATTGGAAAGGCGCGTCTCGTACATGTATATATCACCTCCACGGCCAGTAATGCCAGCGCGAGAGCGAAAAAGACACACGCACTCACGTACACGCCACACGAGCGCAGCGGCCAACAGGTGCTTCCGCGAGGAGTAGGAGAGGTTTCAGCCGACTCCACGAGGGGGAGAGGGAATTAGACTCTTATAAACCTGTGTCGTATATTTCTGCTTTCGACTGCTGCATGTTGTTGGCTTTACAGGTGTGTGTATAAGCACACGAGGAACGATCTCTGTCTCGGGCGCGCCCAGCAAGATTTACTCTTCAAATCTGTGTGAATCATGCCCTACTGAACGAATAGATCGATCGTTTTTCCATCATTTAAACTAATGATTTTTTTCCCGGACGGCATATTGAAAAAAAATCCCCAACAAGTTCGTCTATGTGAGCCTTCTTCGAATTCGATCGACGCTCGATACTCTTACCACGTTTCACTCGATCAACTGTACGAGTCGAAATACCATTAACAGAAACTGTCTATGGGACTAGTTCAATCTCCTAAGCTTTCACTGCGCTATTTTCTTCCAGAATTACATTTGAAATAAGCCGTGTGAATTGAGAAATTATCTTTTTTTTTTTCAATTTTATCATTTAGGCTACTTAAAAATGACATTTGGAGTTAAAACTTATTATAGTTACAACAATTGATATTGTGACGATATATTTTTTTAAATGTTCGCTTCAAGCATACGTTGTTTATACCTTGTTGGCAATAAACATTGATCAAACAATTTTGCATAATTATCAATTCCACCAATCAATTTTATAATTCTTTACGCTAAATCGCATACAGCAATAAGTTATTAGGATATATCAAAGCATCATCTGTACGGTTACGACTGAATTAATCAATTCGACTTTGTATATATAAACGCCCTCCGTCACAAGAACATAGTTATTGTGATAATTACTTTGCACGGTTGCTAAAAATGACGCGAACGACTTTTAAAATAAAAACCCTCGTTCGAAATAGGAATTCTACTGCTATGCTTTCTCTACTGAAATATTTTAACATTTAAAAAAAAGTTTTTTTCATTTTTTCAACTTAGAAATAAGTTTATACAAATTAATTTAATATTTAAAAATTTATTTTACTAATAGTGTCAATTCAATATTAATAACTTTTAAAACATTTTTCAAATAGAATTAACAATCTGTTACATTTTATGAGCGCAGCACAATACAAAGATAAAAAATATTAGGAAATGCATATTCATTCAAATTACCAATGAAACGATTTAAAATTCGGATTCTGGGCGTTTGGCAACCCACGCTTTAATCTTAGGCAATTCAAGAACTTTAGTTCTTAAAGCTTTAAGAGTTTCAGCATTTTCAATAATATCATATTTGGCCATGGCATTAAGGTAATCCAAAACTGCAACAAATAGAAGATCAGCCCAGGTGAGTTTACCACCGACCAGGTATCCTCCATTTTTCTTGGCCTGTTCATCAAGGCGGCCAATCATGAATGGAACTGTTTCTTTGGCTGCAGCAAGTTTGGCTGCTTTTGCTTCAGCATTATCTTCATAGTGATGGGCAGCGATCTCTGTACATAAATTTAAATGGTGGATCAGTATATTAGATATAATTAAAGCTTCTTCATAATATTGAAATTTGTACTTACTTCCTCTAATGTCATGAATGGTATCAACAGTAGCATCGATTTCAAGATTCTCCCAGTCATCTTTTCCAGATAAGCCTACTTGCTTGGCCAAGTAACGACAAATAGCAGTTGACTGATTAATAACTTTGCCATCAATTTCAATCAGAGGGACTTGACCAAATGGAGTTTCTGAAAGAAAAATTTAATTGACTTGTGTATCATAAAATAGTATATGAAAAAATAAAGTATATATCGAATACTTACTTGGTTTGATTTTTGGCCAATCTTCTCTGTTGAAACGATCGTCAACAAATTCAATATCGCCATAACTCAAAAGAAATCTGATTGGCTCAGCTAGAGCTTTAACTGGGAAGTATGTAACTTTGTAAGAAGGCATTTTTCTGAAAGTTAAGAAGATTGATGCAATTCAATATTTGACTTTGTTATCTTATCTCATTTCTTGCTATTGGATTTTTACAAGCCCACTTAAAATGTTACCTTGAGAATTTATTAAATTTTATATTAAAATGAACCGTTTATTATTTTTACTTTAAATATACATACTACAAAGAAGTTTTTTTTTCTAAACTGCTCCAAAAAAAATGTTGTTTTTTTTTAATAGTCTTTAGATAAAAGTTAAACACAGCTGTAATTATTTAAATGCTCTAGAATAAGTATTGTTCACTAAATAGGTTTTAAATGAAAAATATTTTATTCGCAGAGTAATCAGATTCATGTAAAATTTCTTACGAAAATAAGCATTATCATTAAAAAAATTGAATTAACGTATATTAGTGTATTAATCAGGCCCTTGACTGAACATTTTTTAATTAAAAGTTCGAACTATAAATGTATAGTTTTGGGAAAAATGATAATGCAACATGTTGAAACGTAGATAAAAAATCAAAATTTGTTCGTCACGAACCTACCTCAATGTTTAGCAAAACGATACTGCTAGTATCAACGTCGACAAAACACTGTGGTTAAGTAGGTAAGCTGTCGGCGCAAACAACGATAACGATAAAAGTCTAGCACTTTCTCTTGCGGCCAGACTGAGCCCCCTATTCAGTATATTTTGCGTGCGTGGATTTTGCCGAGTTGCGTCGTCAGTAAAGCCGGCTCTTAAAAAAAGCCCAGTTGACACTTCATAGTTATCTTAAAGATGTCGCAAATAAGATGATCTAATATGCTTACACCAGCCAATAGGAATACAAACTGTCATGCGACTCCGCCCGTTGCCGGTGAATATCGTTACAGAATAGAACACGAAGTTATCTGCACAAAGTCCTAACAATAACAATCTTAATTCTCAATTCTCAATTTGTCAGACAAGCTTGCTGCCTGTGCCTGCAGCAAATAAATCGTTGGTATCTGATATTTTTGTCTGCTAACTTCACTCGAACTGCAAAGTCCCGGCTCGAGATAAACCGTGTGCTCACAGCGACTTTAAAGTGCATCGGGCATTTAAAATAAAAACTTGTGTACCTGTATGCATTGTACTATCGCTCAGTATTAGCATTGGTCCGCATATCGTTGCATTTTTGTCGTCGTGTTAAAAAAGGCACGCGACCAAAACGCGAAAATGCTCCTTGACGATCGCACGTAACACTCGGTTCATTTCATCGTTATTTTTTTTTCATCATTTAAATAGACTCCCTAGACATGGGATTTATAGAAGATACATGCATCATCCTAATCACGCAAGTATGTTGATGTTAGTTTATGTTAATGCATGTGCTTAAGATTATTGTTCAAACTAAAAATTATTAATATTGTGGATCAAAAGTTTTGCTTTATCAAAGCAACTCTTAATTTGAATAGTCTTATGCATTTGTATCAATTTATTTGTGTTACATCACCAAAAATTTCTTCAGTTTCTTATTTGTGTATTTTATAGATACTTTTCTTTTGCGGAGGATGGGTGTTTTTTGTAAAACAGCTTTTCAAGGATTATGAAGTTCATCATAGATTGGTCCAGTTAATATTTTCAGTTACTTTTTCACTTTCATGTACTATGTTTGAGTTGATAATATTCGAAATTATTGGTGTACTAGAGAGCAGGTAATTTTTTATTAAATTTTTTTTGTATATAAAAAACTATTACAAATCATATTAATAAAAAAACATCATAGTTCTAGGTACTTTCATTGGAATGTGGGTCTTTATTTGCTATTGTTCATGGTTATTGTTTTAATACCATTTTACATAGCATATTTCATTATAAGCAATATCAGAAACTGTAAGTCCTGATAATTTACTCAGAATCTTGAAACAATTAATACCTTTGAACAATTTTAAAAGTATTTTCTTATTTAAACCATTTTTTTACAGTAAAACTTAATCTGATAAGGCCTTTGACTGTGTTGATATACTTGGTTTACTTGTATTTCTTTTGGAAACTTGGAGATCCTTTTCCTCTATTGAGTCCTAAAAAGGGCCTTTTATCAATTGAACAAGGTGTCAGTAGAATAGGTGTTATAGGAGTTACTGTGATGGCTCTTCTCTCAGGATTTGGTGCTGTGAATTATCCATATTCATCCATGGCCTACTTTATGCGTCCTGTATCAGGTGCCGATGTTGCTGCAGTCGAAAGAAGATTACTGCAAACCATGGACATGATAATAGCAAAAAAAAAACGTATTGTACTTGCCAAAAAAGGTGGTTCAAGAAATCTACAGACTGAAACTAGATCTAAATTGTGGGGTATTTTAACTCCTATAGCTTTAAGAGGAAATCAAGATAGTAGGTTTCATAATCAAAAAAAAATTCAATAGCATGTTAAGATTATCATTTTAATTAGTACTTTAATAATCTTCAGATGTGAAAGATATGCAAAACGAAGTTGTAGCTTTGGAAGAATTGTCTAGACAATTATTTTTAGAAGCCCATGATATACAAAATGCTAGAGAACGATTAGAATGGTCACAGACGTGGCGTGGAAAATATTTTAACTTTCTAGGATATTTTTTTTCAGTTTATTGTTTGTGGAAAATAGTTATTGTAAGTACTATTCACAAATCTTGTTTAATGAATAGCAGCTTAATAAGAATTTTATTTTATGTTATAGTCAACAATAAACATCATTTTTGATAGAGTTGGTAAAAAAGACCCTGTCACCAGAGGAATGGAAATAGCCGTTCATTGGATGGGATTTAATATTGATGTCACATTTTGGTCACAACACATATCATTTTATCTTGTTGGTTGCATTGTTGTGACATCAATCAGGGGTTTATTATTAACTCTTACAAAGGTATATTGAAAGTTATAACATTATTTGTTATAATGATTTTCACATATTTATTAGACTGGTTTAAAAAAAATTGAGGGTCTTTAAAAATTCGATTTACGTATCTTAATGTCTTAAATATCATGAAAAATGAAGACCCTGAAAGTTTCAGATTTTGATATTAATTTTAAGAAGTCGTTCAACGAATATTTCGATTTTTTATTAGCAGAAACTTGCAGGGTCTTCATTTTTGAAGACATTTAAGACATATAGAAAAATGAATCGAGCTTTTGATAATCTTCGATTTCTTTAAACCAGTCTAATAATCATGCTCATTGGTAACCAAATTTATTAATTTCAGTTTTTCTATGCAATATCAAGCAGCAAATCATCCAACATTATCGTACTTGCGTTAGCTCAAATAATGGTAAGATGAAATTACTTTTTGATCATTTCTATTGTTTACTTATAATACAATTTAGTCATTGAATATTATTTTTCTAGGGCATGTATTTTGTCTCTTCTGTTCTATTAATGCGTATGAATATGCCAGCTGAATATCGCATTATAATTACACAAGTATTAGGTGATTTACAATTCAATTTTTATCATCGCTGGTTCGACGTGATTTTTCTTGTATCTGCCCTTTCGTCCCTTGGATTTATTTACTTAGCGCACAAGCAAGCTCCTAAGGAGGGCTCGTGATACATAACTTTAATGAATTTTCAAAAAAATGTCATAACTACGTCAGATTTTAAAATGAAAAAAAAATATTCTGTACATTCCATGTCAAATAATCCCCTTGCGAAAATTTTTTTACTTGTATAAAAATTAGTTTATTAAAATATTGCAATTTTAGCTTTTAAAAAGTCAAACGAATTCTTAGATAATTATATCATATATAATGTCCTTGTTTATATACTTAATCCAAGAGCGAATGTCGAGCTACGAATGAGAAGTATGACAGACGAGCTACAATACTCACGCTTCTCATGTATACGAGAATCGCGAATTCCGAGACCCGCAAAATATTTGTATAATATTAATTAATCATGAAAATTATGATTTTTATAAAATAAACTTTGGGAGAAAGACATTTTTTCAATAATTGTATTTATTGGTAATATTTTAGTTTTTTAATCAGAAGTACATGTCATTAATGTTTTTATAATGTTAACACATAATAATTGTAACCAACAACTCACACTTCACATTGTTATTATAACGTTGTTATTATCTCGTTCAAACATAAACTAAATGAAAAAGCATATGTATTATATAAATTGAAAATCCCAATGTATGCACAACTCAAAAATACAAATCAAAAAAATTGAAGGTGCGACTTTAGTTTATCTTATTATAATAGAAAGTATAATAAAAATTATTGATTCCGCACAATTGAATAACATTCACATCATCAAAAAAGTTACAAAAAAAGAGAAAGCAACTCACATTGAAAATACTATAAAGTAATTCATAAAATTATGTAATTAAATTTATAAATCTATTTTCATTCAATGGCCCATGATAAAAATAAAAATTATCTTTCATGATGAAGTTCATGCATTACACTTACAAACATAAAATTCTATTCCAGTTTTACTTTAAAAATCTCTATAAGATGATCACCTTGAATGAAATTCATTTTAACGAATTACTTCTGTATAAATTAAATTAACATACATGCTTCTTGTCATTTACTCTTATTGCAATTAAGTCATCAATCATAATCACTTCATATTAAACGTGATAATTCATACTCTAATCACAGATGAATGTTATAAATATTAAAAGGCATATAACTCACAATCATTTGCCATGTTTTTGTGGGCTATGCATAAGTCGATAAACGTATCATATAACTATTTTTTCTTCAATTTGATGAAAAAAATTTAGTTTTATATCAAAAGTCTACTCCTTGTTATTGTTAACATACGGCTTGATGTTTTATAATGTTAACAGTGGCATAAACTATTTTGAATCGACTTAATTTTCTGAAAATTAAAAATAAAGTAAAAGTTATCATTGTTATTACGTATTTTAAATTATTTCAATCTTATTTTTACCTTATTTATTGTTTAGTGGAACCTTGGATCAATTCTATTGTCCATTCTTCACCCATATTTACACCAGGTTTACGAATAGTAAGAACGTTGTTAGAACTGTACGTTGTTTCCAAATCAACTGGAAAAAAATATTGTTAATTTTTTGTAATTTAAGGAAGGATACGTTAAATCATTGTATAAATATCTTACTTTTAGAATTGAGTACAGCCTTTACAATCCCTTGAGGTGGATTGGCAATATCAACCCGTTCAAGCCAACTCTTAGTCGTGTAAGTGGCTAATTTTTGCAGTTTCGTAGAAGTCAACTTCTTGTTTCCAAGTTTAAATCCAAGATGCAAGTACTTTCCATGTCTATATTCAAAACTGGCTTCGTCGTCGATGTACAGCTTACCTTCAGCAGTTCCTTGGTCATTGGCTACAGCTATCAGGGTATAAGGATCATTTTTCATTGCTACCGAGCTACGTCGGATACGCATTTTGCGAGGAACTATAGAACCAGCACGTTGGAATACTGGAATTCGGTGTAAGGTCACAGGAATATTAACCTTTGATGTCTCTCCAAATCTTTGCATCGTGTCTATGTCATACCAGGCTACCTTGCCTTCGCCAGGGAAGTAAACCGTAACTTCTGAGGCAGATGGTTGAAATACTGGTTTTACAAGTATTGAATCACCCAGTAACAAGGCGTCATCAATAGCAAATGCTTCAGCTTCATGAGAATAATGGGCCCAGATAGGTCTGATTACTGGTGAACCATTAACTTCATGTTCACGGAACAAGGTGTACCAAAGTGGCAAGTATGAGTATCTAATTCTTAAAGCTTCGCGCGTCAAACTAACGATTTCATCGCCAAAAGTCCATGGTTCACGACGCTTCGTCTCAATATGCGAGTGTTGACGGAAAAATGGCAACCAAGCACCAGCTTGATACCATCTACAAATGATAAGTAATAATTAAATTAAAAATTTTATAAAATGAGTAATTAAAAAAATAAGATGAATTACCGAACTAGAAGCTCAGAGTCAGGATTTTTGAAGAATCCTCCAACATCAGCACCACAGAAGGATATACCACTAATAGCTAAACTTAAACACATGGGATAGGATATCCTCAGATGCTCCCATTCACCTGTATTGTCACCAGTCCATACCGCTGCGTATCTTTGCGATCCAGCAAAGAATGATCGAGAGAGTATAAAAGGCCTTAAGCTTCCACCTGATCGACGGAATAAGGCGTCATATGTACCGATCGTATACACCATGCCATTGATGTTGTGAACATCACGGTGCTCCCAACCACCATAGTGTACCAAATCTTTAGGCATAGTAACTTCTGGACCGTTGAATACTGATGGTTCATTCATATCGTTCCAAATATGCACATCGTTTGTTGTGCCTTCAAAACGCGACAGATCATAAAGACCCATGTAGTACTCACGTACCTGTAATAAACGATTAAGTTTTGATAAAGTGAATCATTTTGATCAAATTAATATGTACACAAACACACTTTAGGATCAAAGAAATCGAGATATGAAGAGGAACCAGGCCAACACCATCCTTCATAGTCTTTTCCATCTCGATGCTTTACATAGTATCCATTATTGGTGGCGTCATTGTGAACAAAGTAACTGGAATCACGTTTTATGTGTGGATCGATGATGACAACAAGTTTACGTCCTTTAGTCGTCAAATTCTTTACCATTTCCAATGGATTTGGGAATTTGCGCTTATCCCATGTGAAGTATTTTTTGCTATCGGTGTACTCAATGTCAAGCCACATCACATCCATTGGTAAATCATGTTTATCAAAATTATCTGCAATTTGTTGTACATCTTCTTGATCATTGTAGTTCCAACGCGATTGGTGATAAGCAAGTGAAAAAATCTGTGATCAAAAAAATGTTCATTATTAAAATTTTCACGCTTATGCTTTTTACAATCATAACTAAAAGAAATTAGTTACTGGTGGTAAATTAGCCGTGCCAGTAAGTCCAGCATATTGTTGAAAAACATCCATAGGTTCCGGACCCATTAAGAAAAAGACATCAATTATGCCAGATTCCGACATGAAATGTGCATCAACTTGAGATTGTTTAACTGTTCCAGACATGAAATTCACAATACTCTCCACTACATTGTTGTCTGCACTTGAAACAATGTCAACCCATGTTTCAGCAGCATTCAGCCAAAAAACTCCTGATGTTTTTTCTTTTCTAAAATCATAAATTATCTTCATGATATTTTTGAAGAATTCTACAATAACAGAGAACTTTGAATAGAGATTATAAAATCTTACCCATGAGCATAAAGTACAGGAACTGCACCATACAAGGCCATTCTTTCATTGACTTCATATTCAAATACATCTAAGTTATAGAGCCTATAAGGTTCAGATCCTTTAGTAGATTTAAGAGCTAAGCTATCAGCATGTTCAGGAATACCATAAACATGTTCAGCTCCTGGAAAACTGAAATCCATTGCAACAGCTTCCGGGCCAAAAGGTTTGGAATCTTGATGGCTTTTGAAATTCTCTTCCCAAGCACCAGGATCACTTTCAGCACCATCTCCAATGGGTTCTGATGGTTGCTCAACTTTATCCAAATTTTCTTGGTTTTCAGAATTCCTAAATTAATGAAAAAAATATTATTATGTCTGATAACACAGAATAAAAGTTTTATATTAAATTATTATTCTAAATATAAGTACTCACTGCACTGATTTAGTTCGCAAGTGTTCAAATCTCATAAGGCCTCTAGCATTAGTTGATATAACCAACTTATCTCCAGAATAAAGATCAACTTTGAATGGAGAATATTGCAAAACAGCTTTGTTAGGACCATTTTTGACAGTAATTTGAGTAGTTGTTTTTTCAACTACTTCTAATTTAGTTATTTGTGGATGATCTTGTAAGGCATATTCAACTTCATATCTGGGATGTAGTGGGTTTTTCTCATTGATACGTAATCTGAACAAATCTCTTTTCAAAGCTGTCAAATCCAAAATATAATGAATTTCTGTGTTTTTATTGAGAAGTTCAGCAGATAAAGAAGATTCATTTTGTGATAAAGTGTCTGGTAACAAAACATAGGGAGTCTTTCCTGCTTCCACTTTACGACATCGCCTAAAATAGAATACAATTTTTAATCATCAATGTTGAAGGCAAATAGTACTCATCCCATATTATGAATTAGTATTCAATGCTAGTTTTATCAGTAAAAACTTTTTTATAAACATGATTGATATCACATAATGTCATAATAACCTGTCATGTTTAAATCCAGCGATGAATACATCATGCAACATTATTCACTCTTTTCTTAAAATATGATTAAAAAACTGTTCATTATACTTACCTACAAAAACTACTTTGCTCGCAGGTTTTGAAATTTTCTCTTGGTACTGCACCAACCATGAAGATGAGCACGAGCAACGGGATACCCAATCTAAGATTTACGAAATAATTAATCATTATTCAGTATTGCATTGATTATTTTGCGATGATGCTTCAATAATAACGAGCGTTTTAATGATAAATGTTAATTCATACGATATGAAAGCGCGTACACAATAGGCACCGGTTAATGCGAACACGCATACGCAAACATCAAAATGACACGTAAGTACAGCCAAACGCTTTAATAAACAAGTAGTTTTCTTTAAACAAAAAGGGCACTATAAAATGTTACACTAATTCATGAATGAATTTGAGTGACAAGCAGCAAACAGCAAAATTTATTTGTGTCTCCAAAACGAAGGAGCGATCTTCGTCGAGGACGAATAATTTCAATCATTCGCGGCGCGCAGGGTTAGAGTTCACTTTTCAAAAGCAAAATAAAACAGACGGAAGTGTTATTATGTATAATATTATATTATATATATATATATATATATACATATGTATATATAATATTACTCACCGCACGTACGAGGCCATCTTGATAGATGCTCCGCGACAACTGATCGCGAAATCTAATTTCCAACTTGAGTGAGAATGAACCGATGAGCTTTTTGTCAATTGCCACGCGCGATTCAAGCGCGCGTTCGTCGTTCATCGAATGATTTGTAAATGAATTTATCAGTATTTTTATTTTGATTATTCCACATAATTTTCAATGGAATGCGTTTGAATGCTCAGTTTTGACTTATATTGCGTATCAATCATGTTGGTCATTTAAATGGAAGTAATTATCAATAGAAATGTTGAAAAACTATAAATGTTTTCAACATTACTTTTAATTATTTTTACTATCCTCGCGCACTTAATTTTAGTTGACTAAAAAATTAATATAACTGCTAGTTTATAAAGCAATTAAATTTTGTAATGCTATTGTATTTATAATTATAGTATATAAAATGAATGCACAACGTTGTATTTTTCAAGAGCAAAGTGGATATTTGTTTTATGTATACGATCTTATGAAAATTTAAAAATTTTAATCAGATCTTATAGGAATGGATTTTAAAAACATCCACATTTAAAAAATTTGAAATTATGCCCAAGTGTGGTTTTTGTTGGTAAAAATCTTCTCAGGCAGTGTGAATTTTTAGTTCTCAAAGCTTCCAAAAAAATAATTTCAAATACTCACACTGCGCGATTTCGATTTCTATCCGGCGTTTCATTGGACAGAATTACCACTTACTTAGTGTATGTAAAGTGAATTGGCGCTTGAGGAATAGTGTTTACAAAATACACGTAGTTTCCGACTATCCCTATATGCGCCTTTCCCGTGTATTTTGTATATCTGTACATTGTGAACACATTTCTCTCATAGTCCAGATATTATAGCGGCATCTGTATTTTTGTCTCTCTTTAGCTTGTTCAGTGACTATAATAAACTAGACTAGAAGTGTGAAAAAACGTGATGATGTGGCGGAAGTTCCTTAATTTAACGCTGGTGGCGGGCATATGATTTTATTCTTTGTTAAGGTATAAAAAATTATATGCATTGATTCTTTATAATACAATGTATTAATTTTAAGACAGGGACACTATCTACAACTCTAATTCACCCTTTAATGATTATTATTAATAAAATAGGTTCAAAAGTAATTTTAATCTGGCTACCAGCATGTTTCAGATTCATGGCATCGGGGGCGCCACTTCCGACAGTTTTATGTCATAGCCTGCGCATTAATCCGTGCGTAGTTCACGTCTCTCTAACTCAGCGGCCTCTTCTCATGAGCTGAACTCTTTTTCGATATATATCTGTCTGAGGTAGGAGCTCATAATCAAGCTTATTGTATATTTATCAAATTATTTAGTAGATCCGGATTTACGTTAATAGTACCATAACATTCAGATGTAAAATTAATACATGTTCTATAATTTCAAAGATGCCAAAATATTTCATGTTGTATTGCTAAACTAATTTTACATTTTGCCAACCGCGCACGTGCTGGCCGTTGAATTCGGATCTTGTGATTTTCCTCCAAAGCCTTTGAATATATTTGTTGAAATAAGACTTGTTTTTCTAATAATTTTTCATTTTTATAGATAATAAATCCGACCAAAATGCAGATTCACATTCGTGGATATAAGGATGAAACCACCATCTTTGAAGTTGAGCCAACTTCAACAATTGGTGATATTAAGGTTAGTTGATATGATTCTTAAACGTTTTTTACTAATAATTCTAAAACTTACCTCTCGTGATAAACTCAAACGAGAATTCATTCCAATTGAATTAATTTGAACAACAATTAATTGTTAGTGTTTTAAACCATTTTTTGTACTATACATTTTATCATTCAACCTATTCATTTTTGCCACTATCTATTGATAACGTTAAACCTGTAATTCTGTTTGTAATCTTTAATTCATTGTTAGATGAATTAAAAACTACTTATAAATATGCATTAAATGATAAACTGACAATTGTATACATTAACAGTGTCAGTACGAGCAATAATGCTAAAGTAATTAAAATCTCAGGGAGCCAAGTACTTTACTGTAATACTTGTCTTTTCATAGATTTTGAACATTTTTTTTTCAAGTAAAATTTTATCATTTTCTTCTTTTTTCTAGAAAATTACTAATGTTTAATATTCTATTATAGGCAAGGCTTCAGGTAGAAGATAATACAGATTTTAATCTGTATGCCGCCAATGAAGTCTTAACTGACGAGACTTTGGTCAGCGATTTAGGTGACAAGACAACTTTGGAGTTTGTTGTCGGTCTTCTTGGAGGTAAAGTTCACGGCTCATTGGCCCGTGCTGGAAAAGTCAAAGGACAGACTCCCAAGGTAATTTTATTAAAATACTAATCTTTATCACTTTAAAACGTATACTTCAACATAAACAAAATGCATCAATTGATCTGAACTCTAGTCATTTAAGTGGACTAGTAGTAAAGTAATGGTGCAATAAAAAAAGACAGATTAAAGTGAAGTAACATTTTTTCAATGGATTTTACTTTTCATTCACCTGTTACATTTAATAATTGGTCAAATATTTAATTTCCTGTAATGTAATAATTTGAATACAAGAGCTAAAATTGAACTTTGTTTATAATTTCAGGTTGAAAAACAAGAAAAGAGGAAGAAGAAAACTGGCCGTGCTAAACGCAGGATCCAATACAACAGACGATTTGTTAATGTTGTTCAGACTTTCGGACGCAGACGTGGACCAAACGCCAATCCTAATTCATAAATGGATTAAATATTGTAACATCTTTACACAATTTTATTTATTAATAAAAAATATGTAACTCATATTCAAGTCTAAAACTCATTTACTGTCATCCGAATACTAAGTATCTTGTGTGCATTGTAAACTTGTTCGAATTTTGATTTTTAAAATGCAAAAATAAGGATTTTTTTTTACATATATTGTAAGAACAACTGTGCAATTGAAAAGTTTTCCTTAGTTTCTTTTGGTTCTGTAATTATTCTTTTGATTTATAATGTGCAGGTTTTACGAAGTCATGTTCATTAGAATGAATAATATAGAAATTTAAATCTCTTATTGAATTTTGAGATGAAAAATTCACTCATCTCTGTTCACTTTTTTCGTAAGATTAAAATGACTTACGATTGCTCATTAATTATGATTATCGTACTACCTTGATACAAAATTTTTATATTCTGCAAAAGGGCTCAAAGAAAATTGTATGCAAACTTAGTTTGCATCGAAATCAGTTATGAAAGCTTATAGACATTCAATGCACTTTAGTTCTTTTTGTTGTCGATCGATGTAAAAATTGCAGTTTAATATTTATCCCATGAATACTAAAATAATTTGTGTATCATCTCAATGAACAATTTTAGCAGGTTGGGAGCAGTGAGCGAAATATGACTTGTACAGTTAATATTATACGTTTCGAATTTTAAATTAGAAATGTTCACTTAAATGAACACCTAAATATTTTCTTAAACAACATCTAACAATTTATGATGAAAATTTAATGAAGGGCAATTAATCAAATAATCTCATGCATGTGAAATTCTAATTGTTTTATAACTAAAAATATAAATATTATGTTTAATATATATATTTTTACGAAATAAAACTTCGAGCAACTGTAAACATAGAAACCGCATTGGTTGTCATCTGAAAAGAATTGAGTATAAGCGTTAAATTTTTCAACAGTTTTGATGGAAAAGAGAAAAATGTTAACCTTTCCGAACGTTTCCATAGAGAGCTTTATGTAGCCACCCGCTGTCAATTGCACTGGTTTGCAATGTGCTCGTAGCATCATAATTTGTAATATTTTGTTTGCTTGATGATTGTAAGTCGAATGGCCTAAAGTCGCAAAATACGCAGCATTTCCTATCGCCTTTGTCTTATAAAAATATGTAAATATTTTGCAGTTTATTCATAAGAAAATACTTTAATTTAACAAAAAACAATTATGTTACCTCGTGCAGCAAGTGATCGGGAGCCCACTGACTCAGATAAAGTTGCATAAAGTGCATTGCTAGTAATGATGAATATTGAAAAAAATATTCAATATTCTTTGCTCATGAAAAAATAAAAATTTTATTTTATATAATTAAATTTGTTATAAATTATATTGTTTATTGTGTCTTCTATTATTTTTCCATAATCTCCAAATGTTTTTTGGATGTTTTCTCATCAGGAACAAGCCTCAAATAGTACTTTGATGGGTCCAAATCAATAAGTTTCTAATCCCCCAAAGGGCTTGAACTTCCCATTTAAATAACATGAGAAAAAATCGTTTTTCAGCAAATAAGTTTCCAAATGCACCTGAGATAATATATAACTACGAAAATTTGTTTTTCTATGTAACGAAGAAAGTATTGTTAAAGTTTGGCAATGGTTGAACGTTTTTTTTTTATTTTTACACTTAAAACCGAAGATTTAAAAATTGTTTTGAAAACCTCGTTTTTTGTGTAAAATTAAGTATAACTTTCAGCTTATTCATTTTTCGAAAATCTGATGTCGTATTCAAAAAGATTATTAAAATTTACTTTTAAATTCCTGTTAAAAATGTTGGCTAGATTTTATTTCCAAATCGAGCACGAACCTGGCTGGAATCGAGCTGAAATCGCTGGGATTTTTGTTCAATTTTCGAATAACTTTAAGATACTATTTTTAAATATATGAAAAACATTTGAGATCCTCGATTTAAAGCGTGAAAATCTTAAAAAAAAAGACAAAAAAATAAACAACTATCGTCCGTCAAAAGTTACAATTATATTTTCTTTATTACCTAGAACTATAAATTTTTTGAGTCATAGCCATATTCTATAACATAATTCCAGGTGCATCTCATCGCAGAAACTCATCGCTGAAGGACGATTTTCCCTTGTTATTCGAATGCGAAGTTCAAGGCCTTTGAGGCCTTTGAGAATATTGACCGGGGCGCTACAAAGTATTAGAGACTTATTTTCATAAAAAAAAACTGTAGAAAAAACTTTAAGATATCGCGAAAAAATGAGTTTGGGAAATAACGAATTAATATATCACTGCCCTAGGCCACAAAAAACAAAAAAGTCCCAGGGTACGTTTAATTATAAACAGCTGAGGCCGATGAACACGTACCCTGGAGCTTTCTTTTTTCACGGCATAGGCCTGTCTTCATACCCAGCAGTCCGAAAATAGCTTTTCTCGCTTTGCGCTGCGGCAGGGAAATAGTCACTTTTGGGCTACTGGTATGAAAACTCTAATTTACTGTGTAACATACGTACCTGTAGAATTTGTATACCGATCAGAGACATATTATAAACATTGCATATCATGATGACCATATGAAAAGATCGCATGTGATTTTCGATGTCTTGACAATAGCTAAAATTCATAGAATTATCTAAATACTAATTTTCATTACTATAAAAAGAAATACGATTTTTTCAAACACGACATAAGAAAACTGAAATTTTTCAGTTACGATATTTTCTTACCCTTTTAACGAATTTTCCAAAATTAGAAAATTTTTTTGATTTTTTAGTACAGTTTAGTATGTAAGATATTTTCTTACTTTTTCATAAATGAAAAATGTAATAAAACTAAAATATGTCAATATCTATACTAAATGCTTGCCTATTAAGTATTAGGAAGAGAATTTCGCCCAACACCCATGAATGACTTTTATTTATTTTTTTTTTTATTTATATTTTATTTATTTTTTCATTTTTTGATAATTTATGTTTTTTTCTCCCTCCTAGAGAAGCTCTGTGATAGGCCCCAAAACGAGTTTTCAAACCAGACGTCGTAGGACAATTTGGTTCACATTGACTTCTCAATAAAAAGCTGTATGAGTGCTTGTGTGTGTGTGTTTTTTATTGAGTTCATTAGCCATGCAGTGCATATTTACATAGCTGAATGAATAGTTGACCGCAGATATAGGTGGACCAGTGATATACCCTAAATACGTGCTGTGAATACTACACCAGTAACGTTGTTAGATATTACTGCCTTTCCTTTCCACTTTCAGGTGATTTGTGTTCAGAAACCAGAAATTTCAGTAGCTGATTTCTCGTCGTTGTTGGTCTTGCGGGTCTCCTGATTCTTGTCTCGAGTCTGAAGATGACTGCTTGCGTGTATAAGGAAATCGCGTTCCATTTTCCTGAGTCTTCCAGCATGAGCCAGACAATGTTCTCCTGCTCGATCCGATCGTTGAGATAAGTCCGGAGTCCTTCTCTTTCGTTGTCGAAACGCGGGCAATAAATTTTAGGGAAGCAAACCGGGCACCGTGCGCTAAAGTTGTGTGTGTTTTTTACATTGTGTTGATCAGAAATTGAATCTGTTTTATAAACGAAAAATTTATTCAAATTCATGGTGAACTTTAGTTGAAAAATTACATGTTTCACCTGTCGCAGAGCTTCTTTTAGGAGAAATTAGTAACCCATAAAATTTTTTATTCTGATAAGTGCGCGATAGAGATGAGAAATAATTATCTCCAAAAAAAAAGTAACAAAAACTATATTTAACTTGAGTCCTTAACGCCAAAAAATATATATTCAATTAGTCAAGCCACGTGTTAGCGATTTTTGGTTCGTAGCATGTTTACAGACGTGTTAATATGTAATTTATTAGCCGTAAAAAACTGACCTCATGATTTCCCGATGAAATTTGGCGCACTCGATGACATCTCCGTAGATCAGCTGATTGTTGACTTTCGTCGATTTATCATCTTTGTGAGCCATGTTTAACAGTCGATTCTTCAAAGTAACTGAATAACCACAAGCAAGCATAATGAGAAATGGAGCAATAGTATCTATTCCGGCTAAAATAATCGCCGTGTAACAAAGGATAAGACCCTGTATGCCAGAAATTATGGAAAAATCTGGATCTTCTTGAACATCGTAGTAATATCTAATTTTTGTCGAATTTAAAGTTTAGCAAAATAAATGTATAAGTAGTGTATAAAAGCTGTATCATGCGCGTGCTTACGAGTAAGGCAACTTCCGACGTGCTGTACCATTGATTCTGTCGGGGGCTAAATGAGTGAGTTGCGATCCGGCTACGAACAGAACAATTACCAAGTAAGATATAACAAGGGAAAAATTTCTGTAAAAGTAAACTCTTCGCTCGAACGGCCTCACGTAAGACCAAACTTCGTTCGACTTCAATCTGGTCCACAATCGCTGACACTTATCCATCAAGCGAGCGATGTTTTGCCGCTGTAACATAAACATGAGGTAGCGTATACAGATATTCTCGATAAGCATCAGCTGGCACACATATTCCGTGTTCAATCGCTTGTCGCGGATGAGATTCACCCCGTCAACCAGGTACATGCTGTTGTAAGCCAATACCGAGACCTGGAATTGAACCAAGAGCATTTTTCGAATGAAAAGATAGAATTTTTTACGATTATGAGTATCAGGCAGGATGCCGATAAGTCGGTAAAGGCCCAAATGAGCTGAGCATAATTTTTCAAAGCTCCTCGACTCAATATCCATTATTACTGTTTCTCGTTCGGTGTATATTAAGCTAGCTGGTCAACGAGTACTAAATGGTTCCAACATCTCCATGAGCTATGCTTTATTTTTATTTTTCTTTCAACGACAGAGAGCTTAAATTTTTAACGCAGTTGTAGACCCACTCCGTTGAAGTTTGATTAATTTTATCGGGTTTTCGAAGCAAACAATTTCCCTCGCATTCTTTATGAGGGTGTAAAGCTTCGATGTAATTTGTATCGTTTGCAGAATTAGCATCTTCATTAAAATTGAATCTACAACTCGTTTACGATAAGTTCATCTGCATGGACGTACATTTAACTTTCTAAATTTGTACTATCGTCACATTCGATTAATTTGAACAATAGTTAAATTCACCGAATAAGTCATCAAAACTTTTTCATTTATGGTAATACTTTCGTACAATCTCAACAATAATTAATAGTTTTTAGAATTATGTTTGGAAAATTGGCCCATTTTTTATTGAAAAAATACATACAGATCTTTCATCAGCAATTAAATAAAGTAAACTTCATGAATAGTAATATGTCTCTTAAAATTAAGGTAATAAGTCACAGACTAGTCTGATATAAAAACAACATGTTTACTTGGACAATTATATTAAAAAATGTGTTGATTAAATTATTATTATGCTATGAAATTCGATTAGTTTTTTTATAACATTGAACATTGGATTAGGTCATGATGAATAATTAATAAAATATTTTAGTTCTTTGATCTGGAGAACAAAATTTATATACGTAAGTATGTTTATATTTCTATTAAATTAAAATTTTTATTGCAATTTTTCAAAAAAGATACAATAATGAAGTTACGTGTGCGAGTCAAATAATTTAGCGTCTAGCGCATTGAATGTGTCTGATGTATAGTTCAATTATTAAATTCATATATGATTGCATGAATAAATCTCAATTATCAGCAATGTTTTCCATTTTTGATAATGTATACCTTTTCAAGCATATACACTTCAATGCACAGGATGACTGTCCAATATCCGACTATCATATAAATAGCATATTATATTCAATAATCGATTAAGAACTCAAAGAAGGCTTAAAATTAAAAATATTTTTATTTTATTTTCGAGTAGGATTTTTGGTCGCCTTTCCATTGAATTTTTCAAAACTCCGAAATTTGGATTATTCACTAACGAGGAGACCACCCCAGCTCCGGGTCATGGATTTGCTCCAACATTTTTTTGGGGTCTCCTGGTACCCAATACTGAAGCTCCCTGTGCTTAGTTTGATCTCATGGGCCTTAGGGCCCATTTTTTAGAGGATTTTCCGCTTTATAAAAAAATCTTTGTTATTTTCTATATCGATATAGAAGTACTTGAACGAAAAAAGGCGACGATCAAAAGTTTTAAAATTTTTCAAAGAATCTGCTTGAATTTTTGCAGAATTTTTGGGAACATCTATCACTTGATTCAAGAGACCCAAATTCGACGCTTTTTTAATAGATTTTGGGACTTCTTAAAGAGAGTGATAGATGATCCCAAAAATTCTGAAAAAATTCAAGCAGATTCTTTGAAAAATTTTAAATTTTTGATCGTCGCATTTTTTCGTTTAAGTACTTCTATATCGATATAGAAAATAACAAAGATTTTTTTATAATGTGGAAAATCTTCTAAAAAATGGGCCCTAAGGCCCATGAGATCAAACTAAGAACAGGGAGCTTCAGTATTGGGTATCAGAAGACCCCAAAAAAATTTTGGAGCAAATCCATGACCTCTATAAAAATAAAGCTGGGGTGGTCTCCTTGTGAGATAAAACTGTCGCAACATTCAGAATGAAACGTTGAAGCTATAGCACCTGGGTGGCGTGCACTTTTTCAGAACGTCAATTGTTACAAACGCAACTTCGAGCGAGACGATCTGACCCTTAGGTTGCCTTCGATGAGAAGTTTTGATGGACATTACGAAAAATAACGTAAAATGAAAATTAATTATGCTCGAGTGACTCGCATCGTCTCGTCCGAGGTTGCGTTTGTGACCATTGATGTTCTGAGGAAGTGCATACGATCCTGGTGCCAAAGGTCAAATGGTTCACTCTGAAAGTTACGCGAAGAGGGGTACATTTTTAAAAAGCATAAAACGCCACAAAATGCAAAAGAATAAAAAAATGTAACATACAAAGTATAAAAAAAGGCTCACGGAAACAGCCGTATCTCAATGAATAATCAAAATTTTGGAGTTTTGAAAAATTCGATAGAAGACAAAAAAATTATACTCGAAAAGGAAATACATTTTTTTTGAGTTTTAAGCACCCTTTAAATCTTTAATTGATTAAATAATTTGGTTTAATAATAACATTGGTTATTTTCACATTGAAAACTTGAAAATAAGCCTCAAATTTGTCTGCATATAGAAGGTTTCAAAAAAAAAATTTAACGTCGTGGAATCAAGTTGAATGTTGACGAGAATAAAAAGTATCTGAATTATGTATTAATCAACTCAACTGTACCGATTTTATAATTTAAAGACAAACACAAACTTTACCATCCGTAACTTGTAAACAATAAATAAATTTTTTTTTTTTTATTTGTTTGCGATGCAGCCCATCAGAGTTTACTCTCACTCATTCAAACGATGAAGGCCAGTCATTCTTGCATACGAATGTACATTCGAAAAATCCCTTAAACTTCAAAGCGTTTTCTTTTGCACACAAATGGTGTTACTGGTTCAGTTAACGGACGTTTTTTCACTTTTGGTAAAGGTGCATATTTTCGTATTGGATGAGCTCGAAACAAAGTTTGTTGTCGTATGTTTTTCATTTCTTCCTCTTTTTTATGTTCTTCCTCGCGAAGTTGCTACACAATGTACAACAGCCAATTTTGAATGAAAATAATTCATCACTCTTACAAATTACTTTCCATAGCCTTACCTGTATTTTCAAATCTTCTTGTTTATTGCTTTTTTCTTGTTTTTCCTTTTCTCGTTGCTGCTTTATCATTGCTCTTTCGGCCGTTTGTAACTTTGGTGATTTTACGGTTCGCCGTAACAACGTCGGACGATCGCTGTTTTGTGAAGCAGTTAATTTACTTCCCTAAAAAATGATTGTGGGTTTGAAACGGTGAATTTCTCACACGTGAAATTTCATGAAAAAGTTACTTTTTGATTATATTTTATTTTAACCCATTAACGTTCAGAATGACAAAATTTTGATTCGTTTGAAAATGCGATTTTTCCCATGTTTCAGGCCTTGAAAAGATTTTGCACATACATATTTTGACGTAAAATTTAATGCCTTTTCAGAATCTGGGCTCACATTTAAGACTCCTGTTTTATAAACTTTTTTCACAAACTCAATAGTTTTCGAGATAAAAAATGAATTTTTCATAAAAATTTTATTTCAAGGACGCCATTTTGTTAGAAAAAGTAGTTCGAAAAATCTGCAAAAATTTCCTCAGTTACTTTTACACCCATGATCATCTCTGATCATATTTAAATCTTGAGTTTTTCACGGCAACGCTACGAAAAAATTATATTATTATATTTAAAAAGTTATATTACATAAATTTTTAAATAAGCAACAAATTTTAAATCTGAGCCTGGATTCTGAAAGAGCTTTAAAATTTAATTCAAATCATGTATTTACAAAGTATTTACAAGGCGCAGAACATGAAAAAAAATCGGAATTTCGTCATTCAGATCGTTAAAATATTTTCGGACTTGTATTTTAGTAAGGAAAATATGAATAACCAATTGCAAATAGATGTTAAATTATATTTATTTTCTGATACCATGTACTCACTTGCTTTTTAGTATTTCCATTCGTGGTTTTTTGCTTTTTCACATAAGATTTTTTAATCGGCAGGTTGACCCCAGTATTACGAATTTTTTTTTCATTCAAAGTCTTCAAAAATTTTGGACTCTAATTTTCGATAAATTGTTGAATTTCCGAATAAAAAATTAACAAAATTATGTTATTATATTAATGTAATTTAAACTGAGTAAAAACTCGACTTTTTTACCGATTTTTGTTTCTCACAATGGTTGAATTGCTTCTTTAGTAGTGAATCCATGCTGCTGGAACTGAAATCATTTGATGATTCAATCTTGTTTATATTTATTTCCTATCGAATTAATACGGCCCGTTATTAGCTGCTCTTTCAGGTTAGCTATTAGAAATATAAATTAATAAAATATGCATATATACCTTATTTATGTAAGAATCCTTATTACAATTGTTATTATTGGTGCCATAAATACAATTGTTTTCATTATTGTTGTTGGCATCATTGTTTTGGCTCAGTTCCGTTTCATCGAGAGACCTAAAAAGAATAAAACTGTTACATTTTTAGGAATTCGGAAAATATTAGGATTCGATTTTTCCTGACTTACAATGTGAGCTTAGATTTATTTAAATTATCTCTCAACATAGGTATTTTTCGCCCTTTAAACAATATTGTATTTTTATTATTTATTTCAATATTCCAACTCTGCATTTTTTGAATGTTAAGATAATTGGTAAAATCTCAACAAATTTCAAATCATTTTTGCCTGAGTTAAATTGTATTTAATAAATCATTGTGGAATATAAATAACCGAAGCAAAAGTAATAAACATACTAAAAAAAGGGGCACCATTAGTTGCAGGAGATGAAAAAATCGGTGACTCTGTTAGTTCAAAACTACTGTAACCGGAAACTTGGAGTCTATCCCGCTGTTGAATTGCTGGATAATTCAACGGTGTCGAAGTTGTATGCTCGATCAGGGGATTCCACAATTTTCTTTTGACGAAGCCTCCGAGAGTACCCAACGACAGCGGAGTCACGTTATTTATCGAATGCTTACGGTCCTCCATTACATTTCCCATTTAACGCTGCTCTTGAATGGAGTGGCACTCTCTCTCTCTTTCTCTCTCTCAAATGTTTTACTCTATTTAGTGATAAAGTATACAACTTTAACTGAGATGATATATTTTACTTTTTACCAAGAATAATTAATCCAGCAGTACAACGGTTACTAAAGTGCCAAATGACATGAAACTTCGATTCACACCTATATAATGTCAACAAAGTATACTTTAGAGGCGCACGAAATTGGTACTGCTAAATTTGAACGATTCGTGCGACATACCGCGGAAAAATCATTTGAACCGAAGATTTTTCAAATGATGGCCAAGTAGCTCAAATTAGAAATCAAAATTATAATAAAAATGAGTCTATTATTTTTGAAAACATTAATATGATAAAAACTTTAAAATGCATCTTTATTAAATAAATTGTGTAATAATGAGAGGCGAAAAACCAAGCCTCAAGAAAAAATTAAATAATAGTAAAATTACAAAATATATGTTATAATATTTATCACGATATGAAAAAATATGTAAAAAATATATTAAAAAACTTATTCTACCTCGTCTTCCGTGAACTTATCACGAATGACTTATGAAACAATTGGAATTATTAAAGACACAGAGATTCACAAATAGGTATTATTCTACTAACAAGGATACTGCACAAGATCTAAAATAAGTGCTGTTCCGAGGTTGGTTGAGAGTTAAAATTAAAGGAAACGTCTTGAAATTTTTAAGATAAATTTTTAATAAATAGTACATTACGTCACTCGTGCGCGAAGTATACTATTTTTTATCACGAGTTGCGGGAATTTTTTATTTCCCGCACGCTGTGATAAAAAAGTTTTTTTAATGAAAATACCCTAAATTTTATTAAAAGTAGATAACTGCAGCAAAATAGAGGGTTGCTTGTGTGATATAACATAGGCAGCAATAATAGCAATAGTTCACGGACAGGCACAAGCATTGCCCTTACTTCACAATATTTGCGTTTTTCCAATTACCGAATTGATCTTTCTCGTTTGTTTCATTAAGTATGAATTGAACGCTAAATATTCACATCCATTCTCACTTTTTTGGCACAAGATCAACCCTAATCCCATCAGTGTCCCACTCAAGTCTAAAATATCCATGCACTATTGTCGCATAATTTTCTTTGAAACGAACCCATACAAAATAATCAAATTTTTTTATTCAGTCCTTTTTACCATTTGGAAACCGAGCAAAATCAAAGTCATATTATTCCAGTTTCAAGGTTAATCAAGTAATTCTGTGGATGGGCTGTATTAAATCTTTATTTACATGTTCAATTGTACTTTGTGTGCATTACAAGTGAAACTTATCTGATGTTTATCAGTTTAAAGAATAGTAATTACATGTTATTAAATTATTGCAGTAACAATAAGTTAAATTAAAATATTTTATTTGTATCTGTTATGATACAAATCCCATTTCTTACATTCGTTATAAATACTTTCCATGAAGCGTATTCAAAAAAGAAATACATATTTTACAAATAGCAAAGGAATCAATAATACCTTTTATCAACAAAATCACAACTTCAACACACACTCTCATCATTCACTGCTCACTAATAAGAAATAATAAGAAAAAATAAGAAATCAAAAAATATCAGTAGTAAATTAGTATAACTAGAAAATGGTGACGATAATGATAATGATAATAATAATTATAGTAAAAGTTAATAATTCAAAAAATTTGTCCGTTTTTTTAAATTATTAAATTACTTTTTTAATAAAGTTGAATAGAATTACTTTTTAATCAAACACATTGATTAGTATTTTAATCATTCTATTCATTTAATAAACGAAATATACTTCGGAAGACTGTTACAGTTAAAATATTCATAGTTTAACACATATAAATCAATGAAGTAACAGTACTATTATTACTAAAACAATGATTATTATATTATTATTTTTTATATGATTCAATACTCTAAACGCATGCACTGCTAGATTGCTTTTGAGATAAATTTGAGTTAACAATTCAAAAAAGAATATGGTCACGTTATTTTTATAAAATACTGAAATTTTCAACTCATTTTAAGTTAAAAAATTATGAATAAATTATCGACAACGGCTGATAATATTTTGCTACCTCAGATAAAACTTTGGCTATCACAAAAATACCTTCCTTAAAAAGAGTTCAGGATACTAGTAAACACTGAGAATATAAATATTTTATTTTACTCAATTATAAGTAGAATAATTTATATTTTATTCAGAGCGTAAGATAATTCGACAAATTTTGAAATAATTGATGTTAATATATTGTTATATATAACATGTCAATAATTTTTAAAAATTTTTGATAATTTTTGTAATATTCTGAAATAATCTTACATAAGTTATTTTCGAAATAGCCTTGTTTTTGTCTCAAATGCGGATTACATTTAATCAATTCTACTACTATTGATAATAAATTTATCATATCCAAATTTCAAAATGGAAAAGTCTCTGTTTTGGGACATGTGTTCTTTACATGAAAATTTGGAAAAATGTACATCAAATTTCAAGTTGAATAAATACACAGTAATTTTCATCAAAGTCAAAATTATTTCTCAATATCTTTTTTTCTTATTTGTTTCTAATAATATGCAAAGAGAAAATACGTTTAAAACGACGTACTAGTCATTTGGTTAATAGATTTTGTGTATTAAAATATATACCCAATTCAATCTCAATTATAAAACAAAACAGAACAGCTCAAAAAAATATAAAATTTTTCGTAAAAAAACTTCGTATTTAAAAACCAGTTTATTGATTCATGAATTGATGGATCGATCTATGAAGCCATAATTCAACCATTTTCATTTATAACTGATTTTTGAATGCATTGCATAATTTTAAATGATTAAATTTTTATCAACATTGCCAAGGCATGATTCTACGAATTTTAATCGATTAAACATAATTATTGATTTTAAAGATTGAATTGAACTGTTCCTTATAAATATGATTAAAAAGAAGTTTAAATGTCAAACTTTTCTTTTGCGCTGTTTTTCTTTTGCTTCTTTCAACAGCAAATCAAAAGAGTTTTCTTGATGCGGAGGTTTATACACATTTTCTCCTCTACCATTATTATAATATGAATTCGTTGCGGCTCCATCTGTAATAACATTAAGGGATAAAAACATTTTCATATCTAATTTGAGTTAAAATTTCCTGACTTACCGAGATCAGCGTACTTTTGTTTGCAAAATTGTCTACGACCTCCAAAACACAAATCGTATCTAGGCAATTTAGGGTCATCATTACCGTGTTCAACAGCCTTGTACGCATCATCTTTGTATGCATAAGTAACAAAGCCATAATTGTGCCTTAAATAAAAAAGTTAAAATTTCATATTTATAATAACCATCAAATAATTGTGATTAACCGATACATACCCATGGTCACGAAAATGAAGACTTAGATCAATCACACTCCCAAAAACTTCGAATCTTTTCCGTAAGTCATCTTTAGTTACATTATCTTCTAGCTGACCGACATAAACAACTCTTCGTTCTTCAATTTGGCGCTGTTTTTCATTGTTGTACCATTTTTCATTTGGTCGTCTATATTGTGATATCGGTGATCTACAATTGTAAAATGGAAAATGTGAGTAATTTTTGCTATGTAAAAATAAGATTTTCATATCCAAGTTTCATAATAAAGCATTTATAAAATAATTTGATTTTGAGCCTTGATGTTGAGTTTTACTGGATTGGTAATTATTAAATGCATTTTGAACTTGTATATACTTTTTCCATTTTTTCCATTTTGTTTTTTGAAAACACATTTGTTTTTTAATATTTTTAAAATTGAACAATAAAATTGTACATAAGAATTATGTAAGCATTACCGTGAGTAACTTGATCGACGAGAAAAACGACGTATTGGTGATCTAGATCTTGATTTCCATGATCTTGACCGAGACCTTGACCTTGACCTCGATCTCAACCTTGATTTTGATCTAGACGTCGATTGTGAGCTTCTTGAATATGAACTGGACGATCTGTACCTAGATCTAGACCGTGACCAAGATCTAGATGACCAGCTACTTCTAGAACTAACAGAGCTTCTTCGACGGCTTATTCGTTTATTTCTTTTTACACGGCTACGAGAGCGTCGACTATGCGATCTATATCTGTACTCGTAGCTTCTACTTCGGCTGCGGGTGCTACGGCTTCCATAACTACAGCTGCGATCTCTATGACTTCGCTCACTATGACTTTGACGACGAGGATTCCTACTACTGCGAGCCGAATTAGAACGACGAGATGAACGACTTCTACTGCGACTTCTTGATAAAGAGGATTCTGAGGAGTCACGATACTTTTTTCTGTAACGGCGCATTTTACGATCTCGACTTGATGTTGAGCTATAAATGAATAAGTTTTATTTTTATTCAAAGTAGAGAGTTCAAATAAAATAGTTCGATAATATAAAAAATAGTAAAATATTACCCAGCAAGAGGTTTTTTTGCATTTTCTATCCTTAAATCATCATTTTCAATAACTACTCTTGCATCATTCAATTTCTCTTTGATGCTTCCAATACACTTTTGATTTTCACTTTTAATAGATAGAACAGGTTTAACTTCATTTTGATCTGATTGTTCTGAATCTTCTATTTCACCTTCTTCAATGGGTTCAATTTTCATAGCTATTTTCTTGGTAAGCTTTTCTACACTATCTTGTTTTTCAACTAATTTAGAACTTATTGACTGATTTTTTTCTCCTGTATATTCTAGTTTAACTTTTACTTGCACATTTTCATTTAGTTTTGCTTCAGATATCAAACTATTGATCTTATGATTATGAGTATTTCCAATAGGTGCACCTAACTTTTGAAGGCCTTTATCAATAACAGATGCTCCGGACTTTTCATTATCAATACCAGTACTAGTATTCGAATTAATAGATTTTTCACAACTGATATAACTTGGATCATGAACAAGTGAAACCGGTGATTTTTCTATTTTGTAAACAATTTTATGTGTTCCTTTTCTACTTCGATATTCAGCTAGATTTAATTTTTTTCGTTGTGGTACTTTTTCTGATAATTCAGATTTCAAGTTTTGAACTATAATATTTTTTACTCTATCATTAGAACTATTAGTAGTAGTAATAATGGACTCATTTTTAACTAGAAAGTTTGGTGTAGACGCAGTTGGAGGCCTTTTTAACACTGAAACCAATTGCTGATTAGGATTGAACATAGAATTATATGATTTATCATGTGGGCCTTTATGTGTTACAACTTTCTCAGCTAAAATCGAATCTGTTTTTGTTTCGTTCATTGGTGTTTTTACTACTGTTTTATTCAGAGATGATTTACTCTGACATTCACTTTTATTACTCGATGGAAATATATGGGTTGGTTGCTTTAAAGAAGTTTCATTAGCAGGAGTTATCGTTTCATTTAATTTCTCATTGCTACCTATATTTTCTTTCTTATGCATACCATCATGAAGACTGTTACTTTTACTATCAACGAGCTTACACTTCTGTTTTCTAACAAATGTAGACGATTTTTGGGAACAATTCATTTGCTCCATTTTATCATTCACACTTTTGCTGCTTTTAATGGTGTCGTTTTTCGAATTTTTGGTGTCATTTCCACAACAGTCTATTACATTACTATTACTTTTGCAACATTTTTTGAATTTTATGTTTTGGGTGGCACAGTAATCATGATCAAAAAATATTGGTACATCTATATTTGAATCACATGGACTCAGATGCTGGAGTTCTTCAGAAACCTGTTATATTTTAAGTAAAAATTAAATATTGAATTGAAATATCATTTATAATAATGTTACTCAAATTTTTAATAAAAATTATTATTTACCTTATTTTTTGATTTGTTTTGAGATTTTAAACTTTTAGGCTCTCTTTTCTTAATTTCAACACGTTTAGAATCTTCTTTTTTCAAGGGTATTGCAGGTATAATAGCAATTTTTTTCTTACTTTTTTGATTTTCAGAAGCCTTTAGTAGTTTTAAAAATTAGTATCATATGACAAATCACAGATGTTGATAGTTTCTTTTTTTGGACTCACCTTTATTTTACTGACAATTTCTTCTGGTGAAACTTCATAAAAATTTTTAGACTTTTTAATTTTTTTATTTTGAATAGCTTTTGAATTGCAATTTTCTCTGTTCATGAGTTTATTATTAGTACAGTTTCCGTCATCCATATTTGTCATAGCAGCAGTTTCAGTTGCCTCAAATTGCTCCAATAAACTTGCAACGTTAGTAGCATGTAGAACCACTAAAGTTGAATAAAAATTTCAATTAAATTTAATCAAAATATTAATAACAAAATCAAAAGAATGAAATTTTTACATTTTACATGATTCAACATTGAAACAATTAATAATAGTACTTTATCGCACTGCGTGGCATAAGTCTAACATAATGTGAACTTATGCCACACAGTGCTATAAAGTACTATTTCCCTATACTGTTGCATAAAATCTTAACTGTGCCCATTGAGAAATAGTGTATTTCTCAACGGGTGCACATATGGTTTTTTAGCAAAACGAGGGATTATAGCACGAGCCGAAGGCGAGTGCTGTAACGAGTTTTGTTAAAAAACCATATCTGCACCAGTTTGAGATACTATTTTTTCCTACGAGAGCCTAAAATTAGCGGCAAAGTTGCGTATTTTAGGTTAGAGTGGGGAAATATACTAATTTTCCCACTCTAACCTAAAAACGCAACATTACGGCTAATTTAAAGCTTTCGTAGGAAAGAATAGTATCAACTGGTGTAGATATCGATTTTCAACTATAAAATCCCTCATATTGCTAAAAAAACTTGCACTAATTGACCAATTGACTCTACCCATTGAGAATTATACTATTTTAAGGCTATTTTTTTTACCTCGTAAGCATAAATGTAAATTTTCTATGAGAATAAAAATTAATTTTTTCACTTGAAAATTATATAATAACTATTTCTAGAAATAGTTGAATAATTATTAATTTTACCTGATTTTTCTTCTGAATTTTCGAGTTTGGCCTCTTTCGATGGTTTTTTTTTGCCTTTTTTTGGATTCTCTATCAACACTTTTTCACACTTATTTTTTCCATTAGAGATTGGATTTTTTTGCTTTTTCAATAGATTCTTATTGTCTCTTAAACTTTTTGAATCATTTCTGGATGAAAGGGTTTCTTCTGGTTTTTGATCAACTCCTATATTTGGTGGCTTCTTTTTATCTTTTTGACTGTTGTGTTCTTGTTTAATAAGAATAACATTATTACCTAAATAATAGAAGAATTTTAACATTTGTGTAAAACTGAAGTTCATAAAAATAGTTTTCTATCAAAGAATTGAATTTAGTTTTCAAATGATATTGTCAATTGTATAATATAAATGAAAACAAATAAAATAAAGGTTGTTGATGCCTAAATGAAATAATAAAAATAAGAAAAGATTTGTTACAAACCTAATAATGTAGAATTATATTTTCGATTTTTGGTTTCAGATTTTGTTAGGCTATGCTGACTTTTCTCATCTAAAATTACTGAAGAGGAATTCAATTCCTCAACAGAATCTATTCCTACAACATCTGTAAAATGTTCAAATGGTAAAATTAAAAATTCAAGTATTATAAAAGTTATAACTAATGCTAATAAATACTTATAAATACTAAAAAATATAAGTTTGAATAATAGTATCAATCACTTTGATTATATTAAAATAAATTTATAAATTTAACAAAATTTTTTATCATACCTATTTCAATTTCACTATGATCTGATTCAATTTTTTCACTATTATTAACTTTAAAATTATTGAAATTTTCTATGTTTTTCGTTTCTTGTAGACCATTATCTGTTTGATTATAAAAACTCAATTTTCCATCATTGTTATCCACTTCTAAATTATCATTAAGAATATTTATTTTTGTTATGTCTCCAAAATCTTGGGTAAAACTTGCATACAAGTTATTTTCTGTAGATTCTTGTAATGTTTGATTTATAGGACTAAAAGGAGTATCACTCAAAGGTGTTGTTATGTTACCAAAAACATCAGCAAGCAAATTTTCATCTAATTGTATGTTAAATTGAGATGGTTGTAGTTCTTCATCAGTTGGCTGTAAAAGTAAGGCATTAAAAACTAGAAAAAAATATCAATAAATGATATACTTACTTCTAAACAGTTAAGGTGTTCTGTCCAGTCACTGAGAGTTTTAATGAAATCTTCTTTTGAACTGTTTTTCTGAGCAGCATTTTCAACTATAGGTGTGAAGAATTGGTTTTCATCAAGTCTAAAAACAAAAATTTTAATAAAATAATTCTTTCAGTTACATTTCAAATATTTCTTCCAGTTTAAACAATATTTTTGATTTCATTGATAAAGAATGCAAGAACTATGAAATTCAGTTAGGAATAAAAAAAAAACTTACGCTTGCTCTGCTTCAAGACATGTATTATTTTGATCATAATTAGCCAAACTTAAATCATTTCCTAACATTTTAGAAATTTCATTCTCAAAAATATTTGAGAGATCTCTATCAAAAAGATCCTGAAATATTTAACTTGGTTTAATAAATATTTTTTTAAATAAATTTAATAAATAGAAAAAATTATATGAACCTCATCAAATTGAAATGGAAATTCTGAAAATTGTTCTTCATCTTGGAAGTTTAAAGTTTCCATGTTACTACAGCAGTATTAACATTAATATTAATTGTTCAAGCTAGTTTCCTGAAATAAATAAATTTTGTCTCATTGTTTTATTTAAAATTAGATAAGTAGAGTTATAAATATATTTATTTATTAAAAAAAAAAACCTTAGAAACTAAGATTTATTTTAAATATCTCATTGGAGCAGAGATAAAAAGAGTTTTTTAAGTGATTTCTAGATATTTATAATTCCAAAACAATATATAGTATGAATAACTAAATATAATTGTAGCAATTTTTTGTAATGGGTAGTCCCTTCAAAAGAACTTACAAAATGCTATAATAAAGGCTCTATAAAGGCTCTAATAAATTAAATAATCTTACTTTAATGTTCTATAATTATATCAACGACTATTAATTTTTGATTGTTAGTACTGTAGTCTGATTAATATACAATGCGAATTTGTATTGTGTTCATTACCACTGAACTAAAAGTCACTTGTCTGACAACAATTGCCTCATACTACATTGCATTGAAAAATTGTATCATATTTTCGGAAATGTGTATGTGCCGGTAACGTACTGTTGTTCAACTTAACTTCATTCGAACTCAACGAAATAGAAGATTGAAAAAAAAATTGTGTTAAAATTTGATACATCCATAAATTTACACGTGAAGCAATAGTAATTATAAGGTTTTACTAGATCACACAAGTATTTTCATTTAATTTTTCGTTACCTTTCGTTCATCATTTTTCTAGCTCTAACCTCGAATAAAATGTTTGCTTTGACAACCGACTTTTTTATTTTATATTAATATGTAATTTTTCAAATTTAATGACATGAGATATAACGTAATATTAAAATATTCATTCACGATTAAATTTAATGATTTGATATTTTTCTCGCCTCAGCATGTGTTATATGTATGCATGACACTAGAACAACCATGTGGTTCGGCATTTTACAGGTTATAAATGAACACTCGTTACAAATAATTTTAAATCTGAACGTTTTAAGAGTGTAAAATATTGATCAACTTACAACATTTATTATACGTTTGAAATGGTGATTAGAGTATGATTGAAATATGTAGAAAAGCAAAAAATTAATCTATCATCAGTTCATCAACAATGCCGATCGAATACCAAACATTCGGCCTCGACCTTTTCACAATATGTGGAGATTCTTATGTGTTATCAAAAATTAAATAACAACTACAACAGTTTTTTAATTGTAGATTTGTTCATCACTTTAATTGTTGCACTAGAAATAATAAAACGTGCACATAACACAACAGTAGTATTAAAGAAATATGAATTAGAACGGACAGAACTGACGGCTTGCAACACGCGTGAATCAAAACTCTCAAGTCGTACGGCCCCGCACATGGATTGGGCGGGCTTTGAGCTCACACAGTCGCAACTCATTCGTGCTGTACGAATCGGGATGTCCTCAGAGAGGCTGGCCGATGAAGTGCCGAAACCGGCTAATTCAAATTTTAGACAGAATAAACATGAAAAAATTCCAAAAAGTTTTTGGAAATTTCTACCAACAATATCTCCATAGAACTATCAAGATGGCCGATTGTTGTTCTTTAAACGTCATCGTTTTCAATGAAAATAAGAGTCTATTCTAAAAGAAGAAGTTGAAGAATCAAAATTTTTCTACGATCCTCCTTACTAAAATAGACGTATGTATGAGAAAATTGTAAGAGAATTAGACATAAAGGTATGAGAAGAAGGGAAATGAAATGAAGAGATAGAAAAAAGTAAAGGCCTTTTTTATAAGTTTATGCATGTGAATATACCAGTTACACTTTTTTCTGAGATAAAATACAAAGTTATTATTTACTCAAAAACAGTGGAGTATAGTTTGAAAAAAATTCTCAACGTGAATGTTTAGCACAAATTTTAAAGCTGATCCCAGATTCTGAAAAAACATTAAATTTTACGTCAAAACATGTATGTGCAAAGTCTTTTCAAGACCCAGAACGTAGAAAAAATCGCATTTTCAAGCGAAGCAAAATTTCGTCATTCTAGATGATAGCAATCTGTTACTAATGAAAAATACTCCATTGAAAATAGTTAAAATCAGGTTGGGTTTATCGTTATTTTATAAAGGTGACATAGCCTCGACGGAAAAATAAAAAAAAAATGAAAATTAAAGTTAAACTATAGTTTATAACATATTAAATTATAAGCTGCAATAAAATGAAAAAAGTTATAAAATTAGTAACTTAAAGTTACTAACGGAAAGTAATAATATTTCAAACAGTCAATAAAATTATAAACATTTTATCAAATTATCATGTGTGATAGAACACATTGTTATCAAGTGTAAAATAAATTAACATTTTTTTATATTTTGTTTTATGGATTTTCAATTTCAATGATTAACTCATTATCTCAAGGTTAGAGTTAAAAACAATTAAATTAATTTGATTTTAGAGATGATTAATCTTTTTAATAAACCTTAATGAAAAGTAATAAAATGGAATAATCTATAATAAAAAATAAAAACCGCTCCCACTTCATTAGCAAAGAGCTTTCTCCTAAAAATATGACTGTTCTTTTTTTACGTATTACGTACAAAATACTACTGAAACTGAACAAATTGAAAAATTTAGTCAAAATTAATGCTCCCAGTCACGAATAAAATTTACCCAGTAAAATCGCAAGGGAAATTTTTTCCCCAACACCAAACATTAGTTAATAACTTTTACATACCAGCGGCCCGAAAGTAGCATTTCCCGGCCGCTGCGCTAAACGGGATATTGCTATTTTCGGGCCTGGGGTATGTAAAATCGTATACTGGCCTATACCGAGAAAAAAGAAAGCCTCAGTGCACGTGCTAATCGACCTCGGCTTCGCCTTGGTCGCTTATTTCACGTGCCCTGGGACTTTTCTATTTTTCCCGGCCTAGGAAAGTAATATACTATTTGCATTACCGTTGAGTCCTAAATAGTATATTTTGCACCTAGGGAGTGAAAAACTAGAAAGTCTCAGAGCGCGTGTAATTTATCATCCGAGGCGTAGCCGAGGTGGATAATCACGTGCTCTGAGACTTTCTTTTTTCAATACATAGGTGCAAATACAATTTTTTGTGAATCCCCCAGCCTAAAGTAACATTTTTTATTTCGCTCAGCGGGAGTAAAATGTTACTTTAGGTTGGGGTAGCACAAAAAAAATATCTTGTCAAGTCAAAATCAAAATACACAGTTGCTTATAGAAATAATTTTTATTTTAAAAAAATCGGAAAAAAAATTTTTTTCCATAAAAAAATTTAGTAACTTTTTAAATAATCCATGAATCCGTAGATACATTTTCAAACACATTCCTTAAAATATTCACTTAATATTTTTCAAAAAACTTTAAAACTTTAAAAGTATATTCTAAAATAATCCGTTTTAGCTTGGCTTCAGTATCTCTTCAAAGAGAAAATCATAAACACTCTTTACCAAAAACTGTAAAGAATTTGCTGTTACGCTTAAGGGTAAACCTAATATCAGCTGAGTATATAATTTAAGTTTCGAATAAGAGGGTACTTTTATGAAGATTTTGAGACCCCATAGATGGAAATGTATGAAAAACTCATGTCATAATCATGTGGCAAGTAAATCCAATCACAATATTAAGTATTGTGAAAAAAGTTATTTGATTGGGATTTTAGAGCAGGGTAGGAGCTTTTTTAGTCAACTAGGTGTAGTATGAACATATTTTATTATCAAAAAAATAAACTTTCAACAATTTTGATATATACTGTTATTTTCAAATATCAAAGCGAAACACATCTTGTCCCTGTAAAGTTCTCTCAATATATTAGCCTTCTGAAAATTTTTTTTCCAAATATGCACTTCATCTTTAATTATATGAAATAGAAAAAACAATTAAAGAGTTCATAGTGAGTGTTGGAGCATTGAGAAATTCATGAGACTTGATATTTTTATAATTCTATTGTTTTCCATTATTCAATGAAATTATACCAATTATTAATTAACCAGATGAAGTGATATTTCTCATTTGCCTGACAGCTGCAACGACACGTGGATTACATCCAGAACTACCAGCTTGATACGCATCTGGCGATAAACGAAGTAAAATAGCCATTTGTTGTAAATTTTCGGAAAGAGAATGACCAAGTTCTTCGAGAACATTTCCAAGATAATCTGTCAACGAAATCGGGTATTATTTCAAGAGTGTTATCATGAGTTAATTAAAAAAGTATTTTTTACTTATAATAAACCATTGGAGCACCTAACAGATTCCTAATTTTTTTTATTAATGAAAATAATTTTCTCGTTGTCAACAGAAAGGAACATTGATAACAAAAGAGAGAGATATAAAAAAAAATTTTAATTTTTAGACTTTTAAAAACCGTTATGCTCACCTATATCAGTAGCAAGTTGCTTACATGCAGTTTGACTGAGCTCATATATTCCCCAAGTTTGATCCTGAAACATTTGGCAGGTTTCTTTTGCTATGATTCCCAATAGAATATTTGTGTAACCAGTTTCACATAATTCTTGATTGTACTGAGCATCAGCAGCTTTTAAAGCTTTTGTTAAGTTTGGATTATCTTTTAATAAAAATGGTTCTAAATGCTGTGGTAAAGTCATCAAGTACTGACCAACTTGAGTAATGTACTCTTGAGGAGCAAAACTGTAGTCTGGTAAATCTAAACTTATAGGATTTGAAGTTTTATTAAGCACTGATGACCAAGCTGCAGATTTACTAATTAATAGTAATTGCGTGAATATTGGGGCAAAAATAACTTCATACGTTAAACGATGTGAATCAGAACAAAGTTTTCGTACAGTTTTTTTGGTCGGGTCAAGTACAGATTTGTTTCCTGAAAAATAATGTTTTTATAATAAAATTTGCATAATTAAGATGTTATGTTCTTGATAAAGACGCATCTCCAAATTCAGTTTAAAAAAGGTCGAAATGAAGGTATACAATGTCATCACTTAACTTCATCCTGGTTTCAAACTATCACCAATAAGTCAAAACCGAAATCAACCGTTTCTAAAATTGAATTTTGAGATACCTTTGAATGATGCTAAGAAATGTCAACCTTTTTGGATGTTAGAAACTAAATCTTCAAATTCTTTTAATCCATGCTCATTCAAAATTAGAATCAAATATTGATGAAAAACGTCATTATCCGGATTTCGTAGTTTTTTATAAGTATCTAAAATGTTAGACACCAAAATATCTTCAAATTCATCAATTAATCTTAAGAATTCTCCTTTAAGTAAACAAGTATATATTTCGATTAAATTCACCTTTTTATTTGTATCATATGGTCAATAATGTCTCAATTATATATTTACCCGTAGTTTGCATAAGTGTCAAACACATCTGGAATAAATTCCAGTCTTCATGTTTAACTTTGCGTTTATTCAATTGCTTCAAGCCTATTTTGTACTTCTCTAGATAGTTGTTGAAAAAAGTCTGAAAATAAATAAAAATAAGTAAATGTAAACTTTTAATCAAATTTTGTAAAGAAGTTTATAAAAAATGAACAAAGAATCATAATACATTGTAAGCTTTTATCAGTCCGGGATAAGCGCAACCTTCACTGAAGAGTTTGCAACGTTCGTTGGCTTCTTTTGCGTACTCTAGGATTTTAGAGACGCTTAGCGACAGCGCGTTAATAGTATCGCTTGAATCATTGAAAGAAAATTCGAGAGTTCCTAGATAGTAGGTAAGCTTTGACGTTTCATAGATACTGTATTTTGCAATGTATCCAATGTAAGGTGAGTGAATAGCACGAGCTAGCTCCAAAAATTTCGAGCACATAGAGACTCCATTGGTAGAGGCTAAATTATCGGCAAATTGGCACGTATTTTGTCTTAATTGCATGAGTATTGACAATTTTGTGGAGTTTGATTGTTGTTTCAAGGCTGCGTCAATGCAATCAGTGATACTAGGGTCCATATTATTTAGAAGATTCGTTAACAATGATGCAAGTTCACTCAACCCTGAACTGGGAAACACTTGATGGCAAAATTTGACCTGAAAGAGAGTTTATTATACATAATAAACTAAATAATTTTTTAAATAAATTTTGATAAACTGACTTTTAAAATAACATGCTCAAATCGTTGTTTTATTTTACATACCTGGCTATTCCAATTGAACAGTAATTTATCGTAATAAATTTGTAACCAGTACACGATATTTTTTTCTGGAGCCAATTCAATGGTTTTTTTCCATTCTGATGATAAAATTGTCTTTTGACAATCGTGATAGTACTTGAGCAATTGCGGTAGTCGATCAATTTTTATGAAAATATCCACATAAGTCTTTGATTGTTCTAAAATTAAGTCGTTACATATTAATTCTATTGCAAAAACGAATTTTTGAAATACAAAATCTTTTTAGAAAAATCTGACTTTAAATTTTGATTATGCAATAGCCATATTAAATCTGAACCAGTCACAAAAGAAACGAGTACTAAATTTATAATCCGACTTATAATTATTTCACTTATAATAGGTAATTCAGGCTACACCTTTGGCTTTGAATACAAATTTCGAAATCCCTAGAGCTTTGTAATTTGAAATGTTGAACTTCTGCGGATTAGTGAAGATGTGATGGTAATTTATACTTATACTACTATACTTATTGTCTCAAGTATCATTTATACCCATAGTCAAATTCTTACTTTAACGTGTATTAATTTTGGCTCATAAAACTTGTAAAATTAGCAACAAACCTTTGAAAAGACCATTAAAAGTGTTGCTGTACTCAAATTAAATCGGCTACAATTTTCGCACATTTCGCCGATGTTTCACGAAAATTAACACTATTTTTCGGTTGAAAGAAAAATTTAAAATAAGAATTTTTTTCGATAAATTTTTTTTCAAATTTGAACGTAATTACTTATGAAAAAACGTAGTATGTATTAAAAATTGATTGACTTAAATTTTGGTTGGATCGAGTAAAATTCGGAAAAAGGAGAAACATTTTACATGGATTTGTTCTCAATTACCAAACTAAATCATTTTTAATAGAAGTATTTTCATAAATTTTTAACTTGTTGTAATACACAAATAACATTAATAAATGAAATGCTTATATTATGTAACAAGCATATTAATTTTTTATTTTATATGGTTAATAACAATAAGTAACGAGTAAAAAGTGTTAGGAATCACATAGTTACATATTAAAGTAAATAATTATAATACTTTTAAACTCACTCAAATTTCCACTTGTGAAAGCTTGTATGAGTTGTGGTGTAGCCATAGTTTCTAATCGATTTTTTAATCCTTCAAGTTGAAGTTTTTTATCATTAAAATCTGTTGCTTTTGTAAGCATTGCCAATGACTTTTGCATGCTATAAATTTTTTCAGCGATAGCTTTACAATCATTTACTGCAAAAACTTCTTCAACTTCATTAGCTAAAGCAGTCCAGTTATCAGCCTGTTTCATACTTTCAGTGAGATCATTCAATTTTTTTTTAATGCGATCATAATCTATTAGCTTTTGCATTGTTGGGGATACTGTATTTCCAACCTTGTTAAAAAATCAATTCTTTATCAAAGTTATGTTTACAATACTCAATAATTACTAATAATTGACTAAAATAAAATAAAGAGTTACATTGGATTGAAGAATGTATACCATTAAAAAAATATTAGATGTAAATTATTATAGAAAATTTTGTTTGTTTAATAACATAATGAGTTACCGTATCCAGTTCCTGTATGACAGATTTTATTTTATTTTTAAGTGTATTGGTTTCTTGCGTGAGCAATTGAGTATCACGTAAAATTTTTGGCATATTTTGTGAAATATTTGTACATTTATTTTCAAACGAGCCATTGATCTGCTCCAAGAGAAGTTGAAGTTTAGTTGAGCTTGAGCTAAGGTATAACTGAAAAAAAAGAATATATTTTAGCTAAATTATTTAGTTAGTAAAAATTAATGAAAATTTAAAATTTTTCAGTTGTGCTTTCAAGTGATTTTTATTCAGAAAATGAAATAGAATGAAAAAAGAAAAAATGAGATATGTTTATTTTACATAAACTCTTTTCGAGGATTTCTAAAGAAAGTAAAATCAAGTAATTGACTAATAAAATAAGAAATTTCAGTTTTATTAGAGATTATCTGAATATCTAAGACCAATGAAATCTTAATTATGCGTTCAACTTTAAAAAAAAACCTTAAATCTGACAATTACTTTTACTTACACAAAATTTAAAAAGAAATTATTAAAAGCTTTTTAATGATAAACAGATTTGATTTATTTCAAAATTAATTATGTGAATTACTACAATTTTTATATTTTTTTCAGAATGAATTACTTAATATTTTGTATTTTTATGATATTAAAATAATTTTTATAAATTTAACAATTGCAGAAACAAATTTATCTTTTACTGATTATTTGATGAATATTTTTGTAACAAATAATTATGTTTTTGCATAATAAGAATAAGTAGATTTCCTTACTCTGATTAATTTTAATTTCATATATACTAAATTAAAATATGTAAAAATTGAACTATAGGAACTGTGATAGTACTTATCTACAACATAAAAGTATAAGGTAACATGTAAAAGCAAATTAAAGTCAGTTGATTTTTTTAATTGCAATAATATTTTCTTTCTTCATCTTTACATAAAATATGTTTTTACTTAAGTGCATGAATTATGCTTGAAATGATATCTGAAATCTGAGTAATATAGCCTTTATCATGACTTTTGAATCTCTATGGAAAAATTTAAAACAAATTGAGTGTATAATTATTTTTTTGCAATGAAAAAATGAAAAAATTGTGGCCCATAGGTATTTAATTATGAGTATTCATTCATAATTTTAGTTTCAACGGTTCATACGGAAATGTGATGAAAAGCCCATTGAGCCTTTTCATAATGCTATTAATTATGATCATCAAAAGCAAAAAAATCGTTAAAGCAAAAAAAGTACCACATACAAAACTATAACAGTAAAATGTACGAAAGCCACGATTGGTTGTTTCTATTGAAACTGCGATTGGATATCTACTGCAGTTCCGTTCCGCACACTATTTCACGCCCCATTTGAATCTGTACTGGGTACATTTTCGTGCAAAGATACTTTGTACGAAAAAGAAATAGAGTGAAGTAATAGGATATTTATTAGAAATTATAGTTTGCTTGTAGGTGCGTGTGAGAACAGACAATTTGTAGTTCGAACGCAACTTAAAAAAAGAGAAGTAGAGAAGAAGTTAAATTGTTATAATGGCAAAAGTTAATATGACATAAAGCAGCGCGACAACGCATGTTTGAAGCTTAAGCAGTCTTTCGTTTCTGAGGAAGGGAGGCAGTGAGAACGAGCAAAAGAGAGAGAGAGAGAGAGCGAAGTAAGAAGAGGAGGAGGGAGGAGTACGCATAAAAGCTGCATTAATCAACTCGCGATCGCAGCCTCAACTGGGTAGTTGCGCCCCTGGTTGCATTGGCTGCGCCGCCATCGCCTATACATCTTGGCGTTTGCTGCCTGTCAAAAATAGAGCTGTCAACGAACTGCGCTCAATTACAACAACAAGATTGAAATGCAGATAAATAAATAGTTTCATTCGTGACTTGATAATTCTCGTGTATCTTTGCAATTTGTGTTTATACGAACCCTCGGATGGACTGCAGTTATTCGAGTTGTTTTTTTTTTGTTTTTGAAGTTATCTTAGTGTTTTTAAAACTATGATGAGCAATTAAAAAGACATACCTCGATATTGTCGCGGGTCTCCTGTGCCTTGCACATTTGCTCGATCAACTCGACGGGGTCAAGTTCGAAGTCTTCGCTAAGATTTGGCAGCCTTTCCAGCTCCGCCAACTTGTAGGGAGTCATCTTCTGAAGATCACTTGTCACCAATGTAAGTTTCTATTGCTAAATCAAGAAAGTCGTTCATCATAGAAGATAAGATTGTTACGCAAAGTTGAGGTTAAGCAGACTACAATTTTATATATCGTACTTTCTATACAGAAAACTTCAAGTTTTAGATCCGAAAATTAACCACTTTTCAAAACTTGCGTTAACAATAAGTTGTTTTATTAACACTGCTAAAAGTTGACAATATAAGGAATGTTTACTTTGTTAAATTGTACACAACCCTTAGAATAAATTCTTATAATTTTGGAATGTATGTAACTTCGAACTTTATATGAAATATAAATTAAATAGTTCAAATAGTTAATCAATAGTTCAATAGTTGGTTCAAATAGTGCGTTGATCCATTCGAAAACGGTCCCAGATGATCAGTACAAGATACAGGTACGACTATTGACGTTCTCTGAACAGCGACAAGTAACATTCTGTTCGGATGAATTTCATTTGCTGTTCATAGGCATATGCCGTGTGCGTTGTGTGGTGCATGGCGTAAGCATATATCATAAGATATTTTGCGGCAGGGAGGTACATGACGATTACAGCGCCAAACGAACTCACGGCACATTAACTCTATGAATGCACCGAAACGACCAAAATATCTGTAATATAAGATTTTACATGTCTCGTATAATTGGCAGTTGGTTTGAATATGTATAGATATTGAGCTCCTTAAGCATAGAATCGAGCCCGATGTGTCAAGTGCAAGCGCTGCACTTTTTATCGACCCTATAGTATAGGTCCCGAGCAGTAGCTCCGGAGACCTGCATGCATAGATTGCTCCGGTTCCGCGCATGACTATATATTCTCAGATTCCCCTGTGCATTCATCGAAAGAAGTCGACTGCACGCTGCGGCGGCGCAGCCTGGCGTGGCGCTGCTCTTATTCCGCTTGCAACGCACTTGTAACAGCATTCGCGGCCCACGAGACAATACTCACGCCTTAAGTCGTCACTGTTGAGTGTTGACTTCTTCTTTCTGGAAGCCAATATGTCCAATAGTATTCATGACCATCTTTGACTCGGTTTAATATTTTTTTTACTCTTGCTTTTCCTTTTACTTCTTGTAAACTAGTTTTTCAGGAACTTATAATTCATAGTAGAACCCATAAAACCCTTGCTAATCAAAACAAAAAAATTTTCTGTGTTAAAATAGAAAAAACTTTAATCATATTTTTTTCGGGTCTTGTACTGATTATTATTATTATTTTTTAAATGTTTTTTTTGTTATTGTTTAGATATTCGTAAAATATTTTAGAAAAACATAAATGACTGTATCGGTTAAAATTCTATTTTGATTGTGAGCACATTGTAACTGTTATACTGCTGACTAATTCAGAATTGCATTAGTGCTAGCAGATGTAACTTTAAAACATTGACTTAATTTATAATTTTATTATTTTATGATAAAACTAATAACTTTATTAAACTATTTTCAACTAGGTATTCTATCTGTATTATGCTGCTATGCTGAATTATACATCGTGAAGTTAAAGTTTTTTATTTCGGGAGATTAACCATTAAATGTATAATACGTCCCAACAAAAAGTACGTATCATGCTCTAGTATGTGCCATAAATTTATTTTGCGTATTCTCAATTCTCGCATTTATTTTATTTTAAAAATATGTAAATTGTCAATTTAGAGAATTCAAAAAAAATGAAACAAAGTGGGGGGAGGGGTATAGACAGAATAGGAAACTTATTATCAAAGTTAAAGTAAACCTTAGAAATGCCGTGTCAAAATCGGAAGCACGTACAAACTTTTCAATTATTTCCTCACATTTCTCATTTTTTAAAACTTTTTATTTAATAAAGAAAATAGTTTTGCTACTATCGAAGTAAATATATTTTTTAACAAATATGCCTCTCAATTTTTTTAACAAACTTACGTTTTTATGAGTATTGCATAAAAAACTTGGAAAATAAGATGCAGTGACATTATTGTAACATCATCAACTGAAGATTAAAAACACTGTTTCGTAAACAGTGCATCACCTCATGAAGATTTCTGCCGAAAATTATAAGTTAGTTTTTATAACAAAATCATAATTTAGTTACATATTTAACATTATTTGAATATCTAATGTTTCATCAAATATATTTCTAGTCCGCGCTATTTTATGTGTAACAAAATTTAATGAAAATAAAAATATTTAATAATAAATAATATTACTTTATTAATGTATTGATCAAAGTTGAATGTTTGCCATTACTTATACCCAAGATAAAAAAGAATTATATTTTCAATTATTATACTTGAATAATTATTAAACAAGAATTCGAAATTTCACAAATTAACCCTCACTAAGTTCGGGCTGCAAATTTAAAACTTTTGAAAAATCAATAACCACCCCAATCTCTTATTACATTTTTTAACGTTTTGTCGAAAAGTCAACTTTAAGATGACTAGCAGTCTAGAAAGTTACATTTGTTGTTTGTTTTGATTAAAAAACCACTGCCAATTCATTGGAAAAGAGCTTCCTGTGACCACTAATATAAACTAACTTAAATTTTATTATTGATTAAGGTGATACCTAGGCCACAATTTTTACCGACCGAGCTCAGAAAATGTATATTTTCGTAACTTTTTTTCCAGGCTGATTTTCGTAAAAAGGCTCTGTGGAGCCCTCCGTATTGTTGCTGTGAACAACTGTACCAAATTTCAGCCAATTTCATCGGGTAGTTTTCCCGGAAAACAGGATCGAAATTTTTGACTATTGTTTGCAGGATAAAAAACTTTGATCCTGTTTTCCGGGAAAACTATCCGTTGAAGTTGACTGAAATTTGTCGTCGTTGTTCGCAGCAACAATACGGAAGGCTCCACAGAGCCGTTTTTTGAAAATCGGTCTAGTAAAAAAGTTATTAAAATTTACACTTTTAATACTCGATAGATAAAAATTGTGGCCAAGGCATCACCTTAACTTATTATAAATTTTCAATTGAAGCTAATACAAAGAGTCTCTGCAGAGAGTACATACCTAACTCTATGGGGAAGCAAAAGTACAACTTTTGATTTTGAGTCTGTAACTTTCATAATATTCGGTGAATCTCTATTTTTTTGGTCTCGAATTAAAGCTGGACTGTTCTGCTTTCATGAACGATTAAAAAAGTCATAACTTTTTAACTACTTGATAGGCCCTGAAATAAATTTTTAACGCTTGTTGCGACACATGAATCCTTCAAAACAAGCCGAACCGCATCTCATTACGTGCCCCCGTTCAAAAGTTGCATTGGTTTCATACCAACGGACGTACATACATACATACACACATACAGACACTCTTTGGTAATTCAATGTAGTTTTGAATATGTGAACCAAATTGTCCTACGACTTCCTCGTTTTGGAGCCTGTCTCAAAGCTTTCTCTATGAGGAAGAAAATCACTGGCATACAAAAAAAAATAGAAAATTTCAGTTCGAGACCATATCTACTCATGTTTTTGGGATCGCTGAATTCTATTCCAGCATCAGTTCATATAGGTTGGCTTATTTTCAAGGTTACTTGGAGTTCAGATTGAGAAAAAGTAGTAAAAAAAGCGGAAAAAATCCATATACCAAGATTTTTGAGGATGTTGGAGTAGATGGAGTCAGCTGTACCTAAGAAGAGAGTAGAAGCTGTACCTGGATGGGGACCACTGTTGGGCCTAAGTATGAGGCAGCAGCTGTACTAAAATCTCCCTATTAAGTCATAGTTTCCCAACAAAACGTTGGTAAGGATTTTTTCAGATTTTTTACTACTCAGTCTGACCTTCAAATAACCTTAAAAATGAGCCAATCCAGATTCGGATCCAACTATCCCAAAAATTTTATTTCTATTCGGACCGGTCTTTAGAACTGAACTATTTAATTTTTGGTGTGCTAGTGTAATTTCATTTAATTTTATAAACTTTAAAAATGTTACGTTGATGTCGATAAAATAATAAATTAATTATTATTTCCAAACAAACGAATGATGAAAAACTACATTTGGTTTTTTTTCAGCGTAAGTTTATTTTTATTAATTGATTTGCAGTAATAGTATATTACTGCCCTAGGCCGCGAAAAACAGAAAAGTCCCAGAGTATGTGTAATTAGTGGCCGAGGCGAAGCCGAGGCCGATAAACACGTGCTCTGGGGCTTTCTTTTTTCGCGGCATAGGCCTGTATACTATTTTTCATACACAGTGGCCCGAAAATCGCTCTTCACGCTTTGCGCAGCGGCAGGGAAGTAGTCACTTTCGGGCCGCTGGTATGAAAAATTTATTCCAAATTATGATATCATTGAATGATTTACGAAGAAGATAAGATAAATAATCCCATTCAATGATTTTTTTACGTCAGTGAATGGATAAAAAATTGTTCTCTTAATTTTTAATCTGTTATAATAATAATAATAATAATAATAATAATAATAATAATATTTGTGATAGAGCTTTACAATATTTATTTTCATGGTATTTTCGATCAGTCAAATTTAAAAACGGTTTCATAGATTTTTTTCACAATTTAATAATTTATTGTAAACAAATGTAATTCGTGCTACCATAGAGAAAAAAAACTAACCACCGTAGTAGAATTTTTGATGACGTTAGGACTTTTTTAACACTGCCTGCGCAAAACACGAGTTTTCTAACCTTAAATCGTCAGAAAACCCTAGTTTTTCGTAAGCAGGGTTAAAAAATATCGTTTGCAACTAGCCCGCGAGGAAGTTGACTCACCCGGGAGTCTTTTCACCTTCGCTACTCTCGGGTGAAAACAACTCATGGATGAGTCAACTGCTTCGTGGACATGTTACAAAATATACTATTTTTTTCGATTTACGAAAACTTAAACTGTGATGTGAAAAAACAATCGCATTTTCAATTAATAAATGTTCTTGCTGATAAAGTGCTATTCGTCTAACTGGAGCAGTTTCCAAGTGCGGTAGACCAAGACAGGAACTTCCAGCTTGTTTAACGCTAATAACGGGCTTGAATTCTTTAATGTTTCTATTTACAATTTCAGGCTGTAAAAATCTTTTTTAAAGAACTTACATAGCATCCTTTTTCGATCCTTTTTTTGAAAATACTTTTTCGATTTTGATGTATAATAATAGTTAAATATATTATTGTAAAACCAAAAATCTCCAAAAATCAACATATCATACATTTAAGTTGTCTGTCGTAAAATTCCATGTCAGTGGACGAGTTAATTTAGTTCAATATTGCATTATTTGTTTATCAATTTTTTACAACCAATTTTAGCGACTTGCACCATAGAAATTTGGTTTCAGCGGCCCTAAATACATAAGAAAAACTTTGGTGCACCTATCAAACAAGATGTGGCCACGGTGGACCCACTGGCCCCTAGACTATAATAACAAAAAAATGAGCTCGGTGATATGACATTTATTTTATTTTATTTTATTTTTATTCATTTATTTCCACATTTGAAGTTGAACATTTTATTCTTTGTACCTTAATCTTTGAAAATGCACCCTGCTTTCTATGAGAAATGGTTTTATTTTTTCGTAATCAAGCATTTTAAAAAAGTTGTTACTGCGTCGCAATCGGCACGTTTTTTGCTTATTATGGCGCATAGGCAGCATAAGCTTTAACCTCCAAAAGTGATGTCGTCTGTTTTCGTGACACACATCAAATTAATACGTTAAATCGTGCGCCATAATTGGTCACGAGGATGCACCGCTTTAGGAAAAAAACAATGCTCTCTCATATTGCAAATTACTCAATTACCAAGTGATGAATCATCGAAAATAAAGCATCATGTTAAAGTAGAGCACAAATACTTCATCTCCATATGTTCTATTAATCGCGTTTGAGCTGTAAATTCTCTATATGCCTAAGTTTAGAACTTGTAATTATTAGAAGAAAACAGCTGCATTTTTTGTATTACTTGTAATTTTGTAGAGCGATACTAGTTTTCGCATGCAAATTTATGAGGATGTTTTATTTCGTGTAAATAAATATACACACACTTTCTTTCCTTAACTATATAATTAATTAAACGTTTATTTGGCACACAAATGGCTTTTACAATAATTTATTTATTGGATACAGATTAGAATAAGAAAAATCACTCAACGTCTCGCTGTGTTCTACCTCTGTCTCTCTAGTCGATTTCCGGCTGCATTCAGCAGCGCCCTCAAACAGCTCTAGTATACAAGCTGTCTTACCGACTGCAGGCCAGTGACACGAGTCGAGATTCAAATAAATAATTAATAACTTATCACTCCTCCTTAATTATTTTACGAATCAGTCTTTCAAATACTCCTTTTGTAAGAGGCTTGGTTAAGACGTCCGCCAACTGCTCTTCGCTCTTGATTGCCTTCAGCTCAACTGTAGTCCCGATGTGTTGTTGGATGAACTTCCTTGATATTTCTATGTGTTTCTTTCCTTTAGTTACTTTGCCCTCGTGGGCATTTTCTAACATGTGAATCGCTGCTTGATTGTCAATAAATAAAGGCGTTGGTTTATCCAAGTTTAATTGTTTTAATTCACCAGCTAAGCGACGAATCCACGAAATGTCATCTATAGCGGAGACAGCGGCTCTATATTCGGCTTCGGCCGTGGAATTTGCGACGAGAGGCTGTTTTTGAGTGAACCACACGACTGGACCTCCTCGCATCAAGAGAACACCACTGGTCGATTTTCTGCTGACTTCGTCACCACCATAGTCTGAGTCACAGAAAGCAATAAGCTTTTTATTTCCATCAAATAGAATGCCATACCTTGCAGTGCCCTTGATATATTGTAATACTCTTTTCACCATCTTCCAGTGACTGAGTAAAGGTTTGTGATTAAATCTGCTTAAATAATTCACGCTGAAGCTTATATCAGGGCGTGACACAGTAGCAAGGTAGAGTAAACTTCCGACAATTTCTCTATATGGGTATGACTCACTCAACGGCTCATCATTTAGGAAGTTTTCCGAGTTTGTGACCATACCTCGTTCAATAGGTGTACTTGCTGAATTAATATCTGTATAGTTATAGCGTTTCAAAATTTTGTCTACATATTTTGACTGATGTACGCTAATTCCATCTGGTCTTGAATTTATCTCCATTCCAACGTAGATAAGAGAATCGTCTTCACCTGTGTTGAATGTTATTTTGAACTCCTTATCAAGTTTATTCAAAATCCGAATCATTTCTGTCTTGTCCTTTCCAACCATGAGTCCATCGTCCACGTGTAGTACAATGATCGTGCTTCGACATTTGTCATAATAGACACATGGATCATCATCGGTAGATTCAAAGTCTAGAGATTTGAGAAAACTCGTAAACTTTGCGTTCCAAATTTTGGGAGCTTGTTTTAGACCATATAAGCTCTTCTTCAAAAGANATTGTTCCTCAAAATTTCCTTGACATGCTTCACATTTTGGTGAGCCAATTTCTCATGCCATTTTTTGATTGACAAGCTTACTAAACATTTTTCTGAGTTGTCTTGTCGAAAGTCCATTCTGAATAATTTGCCTTCTCTCAGTGCTCTGACTATAATCAAGCCATCACTATTTCTGAAGATTGACGTTTCTGCATTAGCTGATTGTAGATATCCTTTATCCAACATACTGCTGACTGAAAATAGATTAAAAGGCATTTCTGGAGTATGCAATACATTTTTGAGAATGATTTTGTGCCAGACTTGACCATTGTATGCCTCCAGACATACATTACCAATTGCAATGCCTTCTATTTCAGACCCATCGCCTATTGTTACCTTGCATGGATTTTCCAGTTCAACGTAGTCAGAGAACCATTCTCTACGAGAGCTCATGTGCTCAGAGGCACCGCAGTCCTGGTACCAGGCATTTTTTAGGTCTGTTGATATGTCATCGCCAAGGTTTTGAGCAGGTAGGCTGACTGAGATACAAGCGTGTCTATTTCTTTCATTACTGTTTTTTCCATCATACTTATTATCTAGACTTGTGTCTCTATCTGGACATTCTTTGGCGAAATGACCTTTCTTTTTGCATATTTTGCAATTATATGTGTTCTTACAATATTCTATATATTTAGCACAAGGCTTACCACGACATTCAGCCTTTTTGTGGCCTTTCTTTCCACATTTGAAGCATTCAAATTGTTTACCATTTGAGTTCTGAGTTTTTGATTGGTTGACCTGCTTGGATACTAATGCATTATGCGAGTTAGAAGAGTTTTTTTCTTGATCTGTGTCATCACACTTCAGCCTGTCTTCTTCTAATCTCAACCTGTCAAACATAGTGGCTAAGCATCTGTCAATTCCACTGACATTATCCCATGACGTACGAAAGTGGTGCAGTTTAGTTGGCAATATACCTAGGATTCGCTGCATCACCCAAGACTCCTTTACATCTTCACCAGCAGCAGTTAAGTTTTCAGCGTACTCTTGAATTTGCATACAATTTTCAATAACTGATTTTTTATCATCATACTTGTAACTGAAAAATTGTCTCTGTAGACCTTCTATTGAGACAGCAGACTTTTTGCCATACAGCGTTTCCAGCTTGTCTAGCATTGCATTTGCGGTTGTACATTTGGCTATCTTTCTTGTTATCAAACTACTACAATTTAATCCAATGAGAGTTTGTGCCTCCAAGTCTTTCGTCTTCCAGGCTGCGACTGCTGCATTTTCATCATTGCCGTCTGGCATAACCTCAATTCCGGTAGCGACGTTGAAAATTTTCTTATTCTTGAGTGTAAGATTTAACTTAAATCTCCATGAATCATAATTTACGGTTCCAATAGAGGTTTCTGACAACATTTCTAGCTGTGATCTGACGTTATCCATTTTGACTGTTTCTTTTAGATTTTATCACGAACTTGAAACTTTTGCTCGATTCTACGAAATTTCTGATTTGTACTGACTTGTTGTTTTTTTTGATTATATGCTGACTTTTACACTGACTGTTTTTTGTGTGCTGACTTGCTTGCATTAACTTTTAACGACTTATTATATCCGTGAACTTATTAAGACAAGGCACTATATAACATCCATAAATTTCACGCAATAACAGGAGAAAACTGCGAACCTGGGCCCATAACCTGTAGAGCGATACTAGTTTTCGCATGTAAATTTATGAGGATGTTTTATTTCGTGTAAATAAATATACACACACTTTCTTTCCTTAACTATATAATTAATTAAACGTTTATTTGGCACACAAATGGCTTTTACAATAATTTATTTATTGGATACAGATTAGAATAAGAAAAATCACTCAACGTCTCGCTGTGTTCTACCTCTGTCTCTCTAGTCGATTTCCGGCTGCATTCAGCAGCGCCCTCAAACAGCTCTAGTATACAAGCTGTCTTACCGACTGCAGGCCAGTGTCGAGATTCAAATAAATAATTAATAACTTATCAAATTTATTGTTGATGATATTTTTCAATAATTTTTTTGCAAAAATTTAATGACTGATATGTATAGAATATTACGACGTCAATTTTAGTTTGGTAAAATATCTCAAACTAGCCAAATGAACGTACGCCGTATTAGGCGCTGCGCCAGAATAGGCGCTTCTCCTCTATAAGTAGAAAGGATAAACCCTTAAGTAAATAGGAACTTGCCAGAGGGAGCGCGAACGCGCTCCTCGATTAATCATTCGAGTGTGTCGTACTCGTGACGTCGTCCGTCAGTATGGATAAGGTTAACCGTAAACTATCATTTGGTTAACACCCTCTGTTGCGTGAAATCACGCATTTGCTCCGTGCGCCAAACGCGACGAAACTCTCAACACACGCAACTGACTATAGCTGACTGCAGCAAACTCAGTTAAACTCAATTAAATGTTTTATGTGGCCACAGACTTTGAGGTTTCATTTCATTCGATGGACTTTTAGCCAAATTCACAACCTGTAACTTAGCATAAAGTCTATAATATCATAGAATGTAATAAATTAAATATACAATTTGTCCATTAATATGTACAATAGACTGATTCAAAGTCAAAGGTCTTCAAAGTTCGATTTATCAAACTGTATGTCTTCAATACAACGAAATATGAAGATCCTATTGAGAAGCATCACGCCTCTTACATTCAATTTGAGCGTCTTATAAGAATTCGAGGAAAAGAGTAAAATCAGCCATACTCTATTCATCCAGCTTTTACGTAAATTAACATTGAATGCATAGAGTCGTTGCGATATCGTATACTTTTTAAGTAAAATCAAGTAAAACATGAGTGATGTCTACGTCAGCACGAGTGAGTTATTTTGTGCGCATTAGGACTGGCTACAACAGTTTGAGAAAAGAAATGAGTGCCGACTCTGCCGGCACGGATGGCTTGTTTTGCGCACACTGTGCGCTGGAAGCTGGGCAAGTATTGCATACAAAATTTTATTCAATAATATGCAGAAACTGCTTAAATAACTAGTAGGATATTTCACACAATTATAAACAATTTTATTGTACACCAGTGTCCGATTTTTGTGCGCTAAAAAGTGTGTGCAAAAGGGCGTTTTTTGCTATACTATTGCATGTGAAGTGTAACCGCATTAGTATAAAAAGTAGATGTTCAAAATGTATAACGATTGTATATTCGGGGTTGGCATTTATATTCATCTAATTCATTTTATATCAATCTTATTTAAATGTTAATGAAAAGTGGTTGTTCGTTTGCAAATGCTGAAAGCATTTTAAATATAGTTTCACATCCAAAATGGGAAATATAGCTATTATGTATTTTAAACAACTATTTTAAATGCACCCGTTCTTATAACTCCTTGTTCTTACAATCGCCATTTTGAAAAATGAATAAATTCAGAATAAAATTAGCCGAAGTCAATCAATCAATGCGAGTACAATTTTTTTTATAGTTTATGTTTATAGATAAGATTATTTGAATTATTTTATATATAAATTTTAATTTTTCAAGATCATCGCAATTCAAAATCCTCAGAGTTAAAGACTATTAATAAAATTATATCATTAAGTTATTTAGCATAAAATTATTTCCTTTACAGAAACAGCACAGATTTCTACCCACAGGGTTATTGCAACAATATTTACCAACATAATTTAATTATATAGTTATTGTAGATAAAACAATTATATTACAATGTTGAAAATTGAGGTATCATATTGCAATATTTCATAATATGTAATAATGACCAAATTTTTGAAAGATTTTTTTCATCGTTTGTTCCGTTCCCATTGCAGAGTTTACTTCAAAAAGAAGTATATTTTCAAAAAAAGTTGATAAAATTTCTTTTAAAATACTAATTATGGAAATTGTTTTGATTAGTTACGAAATTTCTTTTTTAAGAAGCCAAAAATGAGACACACTGTTCATTTCGACCATCTTTGATAGAAAGTGTGGTTTGTAATCGAAATTCTATTTGCAAATATTATTTCCCAAGTTTTGGTGTATATGTACACATAACTAATTTAAGTGCATCAAAAATGTACAAGCAAATTTGTAGTTTTAAACAATTTCTCATCGAAAATTAAGGCAGTCGCGCTCTAAGCATCGATCCTGGGTAAATAATAATAAAAGCATCAGAGCTCCCCCTTTTTCAGCCCCACCCTTTTGTCCCCTTTGGAAAGAACGATAAAAAAACCTGTTCAAAAAACCAAGGCGGACGAAACAAAGGGAGTTCTCTGTGCACCCACTCCCTCTCTTTCTCTTTCTCTCTACCTTCGCCTATATTCGATAGCTGGACTCGAAAAAAAAACTTTTTCCAACTCACTTTAGCTGATGGTGAAGTTCTGCGCACCAATATGAACATACATACATACACATACACACAAATATATATTTATATATGGTTGATTCTCTATCAAATCGGCCGAGCCGAAATTTAGCTGGCATCATGAAAATGTTATTATTGTATGTCATGAGTACTTCATAATTAAAGCATTTTGGCCCTTATTTTATTTTCTAAATTAATTTTTAAACTTTTTTTTAAAATGTACTTAAATGATTAAGGAAATAACAAAGCAATTTTCAATACCATATCTGAAATATTTACTGAATATTTTTCTAAAAAATTTAATGAAGACATTAATTTTATTATTTTCATGGGCTCCACAGAGTGTTTCCGATATACAAATCTATCAAAAACTAGACCATAAATTTAAACTTACTAAGATCGACCCATGTAACGGGTCTATTCATACAATGGCCTTATAATATATCTAAAAGAATCCCTGACTTTCAAGTTAGGCCTCAAAGTCTACAGCTGCGGCTTC